TTTTGATTTTTTTGTCAGCATGAAAGGCTTGTATGAGCTAGTTCAGACAGAATGAGAAAGAGAGGTCAGCTTGCTAGTGCTGTTCAGAAAGTGGCTGAAAGACCAGGCTTAAAAAAAATTTATGTGGGAAATGGAAAAAAATCACTCCACTTGTCATCAAAACTGCGTCTGAGAGCTGAGCTGTCAGCAGTAGGAAACAGTCTTAGCCGAGTTTGAACAGCTCTGTTACCCAACCTTCATATTGTGCAAAAAGTTAATTTTAAATAAAGGAAAATTCCCCATTTGTTTAATTTCAGAAGCTCCAAGGTAGCTGCCATCCTAATGGGACAGGGCTCCAGAAAATGAGAAAGTTTGGGATATGTAAGAACTGGAGTTACAACAGGAGGGATATAAGAAGAACAGGGGGAGAAACTAACAAAAAAACCCCTGAACAAACCAAACCAAACCAAACAAACAAAAGTAATAATGCTAACACTACTAATAAAAAATGTGTATTTTTTCCACAATGAAGTTTAGTAAGATTCTTCTAAAGGAAATTATGTAGTGAATTTCCTATCAAAGAATTTTAAAAAGAATAATCCTGCAAAATAATTTAATTTTTTTTCTGATTAATTTCTAAACTAAATGAAATTATTCCAATTTCAATAGCCTTTAACCAGTCCTTCTTTCAATTCTCCTATAATTTGGATTTTACTGTAAATTCTTCACAGAGAGAAATTAGTATTTTTCAAATGTTCTGTTTAGGCTGGGATTTGAAGTTTTCACAATAGAATATTTATTCTTTTATAAATCTTTAATAAATTACTTCATGCTTTTAGTTTTGTTGGTGAAAAAAGTTGAACTGTAATTAAAGTAAATGATGTAGCTGAAAGTTTTCATTTTAAAACATGATCTCTTTCGAGAAGAAAATTATCTAAATATAATCTACTTGTAGAATAATCAGTGGAGTTATACAAGCTGTGGAAGGATCCAGCTCACAGTCCACATTCATAATAGTTAAATTGAAAATGCAAATGGATAACAGAGTCATAACAACACAAATTTTCTGAAAATAGATTTTAACTCTACGGAAGAAAAGCAGTGCACAAATGGATATGTGATTGTAATGAAGGGAAAAAGAAAAAAAGAGGAATTGTAAAAACATAACCGTAGAAGCAAGGCTTGAACTTTTTAGCTTTAAAATAATACAGGTGAGAGCTATACAGAAATACAGAGATGCAGTTGTTAAATGGTGCAATCATATTTAGCCATACCTAAACCTTCCTGTGCAAGGTTGGGTTATCTTGCTGGGCTGTGCACTTTGGTGATCTGGGGTGTGGCACAAGTTCTGTTCATCCACCCTTGTAAAGGTGGGACAGAAGAGGGTGGAATTTGTCTCTTTAGATGCTGTTCCTTAATCCGCATCTGAGCGTAGGCTAACCTTTGAAAAGATGTAACTTCAAGTCTGGGAACAAAAATTGCTTCAATGGGGAAGGCCCAGGGTTCTCACACAGCCATATTTTTGATACAAACCTGCTTCAATGTGGTAGGGTTGTCCACAGGTTGGAGTTAAAGCCCACTGAGAACTGGGAGACTGTTTTTGAAATGGGATGTTTTATAGACTTTTCCAGTAAGCCTCTGAAATGATCCACTAAACATGTGGAAATACCGACTTTCAAAAACTTTAAGCATAGCCAAAGCAGAATAAAAGACAAATTCACCTTGCCAGGTTTTGAGTTTTTGCTCAGGAGCTGGCAATCATGAAAACCTTCTTCAAACAGTCAAGAGATAATTAAAACATCTTCTTACCAAGTAGTCTGTTTCCTTTCAAAATTTATCTTTTTATACAATTTAGCATTTTACATAATTATTCTGAAAAGAAGTCTGAGACAATTCAGGAGGGGGAAAACTAAAGCTCAAACAGTTATGTGCCTGGCAGAGAAACAAAATATGTAAAAAAATGTTGTACAGTGTAGTCTTTTAGGCAGCTTTAACAATAGACTTTATTCTGTCCAAATTGAAACACATTGAATTTACTGAAAAACATTCTTTAATAAATAGCTGCATAAACTTAGTAGTATTAATTGGTCTTTCTAAGATCTGCCGTTTAAACTTTTTTAGTGCATGAAAGAACATACTGAACCTGAACCTGCTTCTGATTAAGTCAGTGAAAGCAGGACTCTGATAAACATTTGGTTTGACAAAATGAATTCAAGATGTTGGAATTATTTCATCCATTTTACTAGGCATTTTTCCTGAATCCTCCATTCACTGAAAGGTAAGATTTTAGTAAGTCTGTTACATCTTCCTGAGAATTTTTTTAGGCAAAAGGTAAATAAATGCATCCAGAAAGGTGAATTGAATGACATGTGTTACACAGAAGGTAATGTGCACTTCAGTAAGTAAATCACATAGGGGTATACTAAAGTAATCCCTCTACTTGTTCACACAGGATGGAGCACTCAGGATAAGTAGAATATACACATGGTTCTGTGAAACTTTTTATTGGTTTGGATAGTCCTTTTATTCTTAATAGATTACCAGTAAGTGCAAGATGTATTTTATTCATACAGAGAAAATGTCTGTGAATACACTACTTTTAAAATAGTTTTAGTTAATTTAACTTGCCGTGTCTGTGGGCTGGGATGCCATTTGTTACAGAAAAAAAATTAGGGTGATAAGAATACTGTTCTGCACAGAAGGTTTCATAGTGGCTTGGAACAAAAACTATTCCTTTTACAAAGTTTCATTGTTTATATTCTTTGCCAAACAAATGAGAGTCACTGGACTTAGTCTTCTGATAAAGAAAGTTTGATTTGATTAAGAAAACGTTATTTATGTGAGTGTAAAAAATGCTTAAGATGGATACTTCTTATATACACTATATACAGTAATTTTGCATATCAAATATTGCTAAAGTATTTGCATGATATTGTGGTGATGATATATGCCTGCCTGAAAAGAAATTATTATATTTTTTTCATGCTGACCAAGAAAAAAATCAGATGTGAACTTTCTAAGCTGGAACTGCCCATGAGGTATCTGTGAGCTGATCATGCATCAATAGGAAATTATGGCATTTAAAACTGCTAAGTGAACACGTGGGGAGCATTACACTGTATATGCAATGAAACATGCATTGTTTATTTCATTTAGCATTCTTCTGCTCCCTTAAATACATACAAGATGGAAACTCACAGACTTTTTTTAACCTTTAGCTGCTATCCTTGTACCAAAACTACTAAACAAAAATTGACAGACTTGTAAACAACTTGAGTTCATTCTATTTCATCTAACACTGATCACATTTCCAGTAGACAATAAATATAATTCACTGCTGACAGATATGTAGAAATGTGTATACAACTAGATGAAGAAATTGGGTACAATGCAGTTCAAATCTCAGTTTATTCCTTTGCATCTCCTTGAATATGGTTGTAAAATTCTTACCTGCTGATCCATGGCCTCCAGCAAGATCAGTTTTCCCCTGCTTATCCAGGCTGGTGCTGGGGAGGCTATCCTGCCAGTGGTGTATCAGTGCATCTTATGGTAGCCATAGGCATTTACTCGAGTAAATGAGATTCTTTACTTCGTGTGCCTTTGGGTAAGACATTTGTTCATTTTCCCAGTTGAGATGAAGTATTTCCTACATTTTTTTTAGCATATACACTACATGAAGGCTCCGAATCTGTATCTTGAGTTAAATGAATGCAATCTTAGGGAGCCTAAAGCATCCAGGAGATCAGCAGAATTAGGAGCACAAAATGGGAGATAATTTCATTCTCTGGAGGGAAGAAATGTAGATTCAGACAGCAGAGTCATATTTGATGGAAAGGTAGTGGGGTTTTGTTTGATTTTTTTTCCCACAGAGGAGGATGTGTGTGAGGACATAATATAGGCAATTTCAAAGTGAAACTTGGAATAAATACTGAAGATGCTGGGTGTCGCCTTAACAATTTACCACTGGTTGTCCTGGTCAGAATATGAATATACAGGAGTCATTGTTTTTACTGAACTATCCCAACTGTTCATCTCTTTTCTAGCCATCTCAACCCTGTACAATGTAATTTGGCTTTTACAGCTCTGTAAGACAATCTTTCTCTTGGCCTTTGGAGTATACATATGGTAAATGGTTCTCCTGTTGCAGATGGGCTGGCAATTTTGCTTATATATAGCAAAAACGTTTCTTTGGGGGAAAAAAATCTGTCTAATTAATTTATAAATGAAGCAAGGAATAGGTGAACATACACTGCAAATTGGATTGCAGTTACTGGTCTGACAAGAAATGTTCGTTGTCTGCTTTTTCTGCTTTGTTTGCAAAAGGCGGATCTGTTGTCACTGCATTAAAACCTTCTACAGATGCCTAGTGTAACTGTGATGCTGGAATCCATTGCAGTCTAATCCACTTGAAATTTTGCAAGCTTCCTAGAAATTACTCAGAACAAAACAAGAATCAAGTGATCTAATAAGAATATACACATTTGTAAGAGTGAAGAATCTTCCAGAGGTACATGAAAGTTCTGTTCATTCGCTTGTATGGCCTGTACCTGTGATTTAGTATGGATGCAGTGACTGCTGATGGTTGGAATACAGATAGCAGAAGGTAGAAGTTCCTATTTTGACTTTCTGTAATGATTGGCCAAATTTCTCTATTTTCTTCTAAGACGTACCTATTACCTGAATTTATCCATTTATCTCTCTGTCTGTCCATCCATATATATGCACTACCTCCTGCACATCTTTTACAAGCTCTTTGAGCAGTTTCATAAACCGTGTCACTTCATAATACCTAAAGGAAAAGTGAAAAATACTGGCATTGTTGCTGTTCATATAAAATTATTAGCTACTTTCCTAGGTTTGGTAAAAAAGCAAAGAAGATGTCAAAGGAACCTGTATTAATTCATTAATCTGACTGCATTGCAAACTCTCCATATTAAAAAAAAAGTTATTAAAGAAAAAGCAGATAATAGTAATACTATAGTAATACTAGTCCATAATACTGTCACCTTCTTTTTTAACAGGTCTATGGAAATGCAGGATCTAGCCAGTCCTCATAATCTTGTTGGAAGCAGTGATGCACCAGGTAGTTCCAAACTGGATAAGTCTAGTCTTAGTAGCACATCAGTTACAACAAATGGAACAGGAGGTAAGTATAAGACACTGCTGGCACATAGAAAGTTTTGGCTAGTTTTTAGTCATATGCACTTTTTAGCATAATTTCAAGAATGACCATATACCCATTTATAAATACCCAGCAAAAATTATGAAAAAATGGCAGTCATACAAGTATAAATCTCTAATTCCAACATCACTTCTTCTGTTTGCATTAATTGAAGCAAGAGGCTGAACTGAAACAAGTTGCAAAGGTGAAACAAAGATTTGGAATGGTTGATTTGAACACAGTGTTAAAGGTTTGCTTACACCTGTTGGTAACTTGAAATAAATTGCTTTTTCTGTGTCATATTTCATTGATGAGTAATAATTTGCTCTTACACTCTGAACTGCACAGGTAGTTCGGTTAAATTAAAATCAATGTCAAAAGAAGTACATCAAAATTAGGGTTAAGTAATTTTTTTCACGATGAATTCCATTTCTTGGGACGTAATGGAAGTTTGTCATAAAGAGATTGTTACATTTTCCTCAGAAGTAGCTGGTTATTACTGCTGTAGGTGTTACTGTAGGCACAGCACTATCATGCAGCTACAACACAGATGTTCCAATGCTCTCACATAATCAACTATGCCCTATGATTTGGAGCAGCGGGAGGCAGAGTAGCACATTCTGAGGTGCAGTCCATGAAAGTGACACCATGGATATGAGCTAAGGTAGAGTTTCACACGTCTTTTTTAGAGTTTATACATTGCTGTCTATTTTAACAATTTGCACTAAGAAATTTTTTTTTTAGTTTGTTCTTTCTGACCCCAATGTAGAGCATTTTACTCACTTATCCCTATTTAAGGAAAAGTCTATCAGTGTGAGTAAAAAGCACATGTGCTTGTGAGGGTAACAGAGCTCTGCAAAGAAGGGCTGAACCACATTTTTAAATAGAATCCTTATTCCAGCAAAAAAGAGAAAACTTCAAGCATACCATTAAAGAACTCTAATAACTAGATGCCTCTTTATTATACATGCATAAATAAACCAGTTAAAATAATACCCATAAAAACAATACAGTTCAGTTAAAAGACTTAAGGCACTTAATTGCCTTGAGGACTTTTCAGGTACACTGAACAGACGTTGGGAGAATGAACTGTTATACCATTCCTGTTCTCAGGAGACAACATGACTGTGTTAAACACTGCAGACTGGTTGCTGAGTTGCAGTACTCACTCCTCTGCAACAAGTATGAGAGACCCTGGTACAGTGCATGTGTGTGGTAGTGTGTGGTGGTGTGTCTCCCTGACTGCCGTGTGACATCTCTCTTGGTTTGCTCTGTTCTTTTGTTACGCACTTTGAACATTCTCATAGGGGTTTTTTTCCCCGCTCCTATTTTTCCTACCCCTTCTTAAACGCTTTTCTGACTGCCAGAAAACTGGTAGGAAGTTGCAATAAATAGTTATCTTACAATGCTTTGAAAGTAATTTGATGAGCAAGGAGAACTTAAACCACTTATAATTAGCTTAACTGTCTACATGCTCTGAGAGACTGGGATTGTCTCGTGGTGTTCAGCATTGCTGGGAATTGCCAGTAGTCATCATTAGTGGAAGTCAGACCGATGGAATTTGCACAGCATGCCCCTTTACTTTTCTTTTGTTTTTAAGTACAGCATTGCATGATTACCTGAGCACAAATCAAGACTGACATTATTGTTACTATTCTACCACAATTTTAATTATTGATCAAAGCTTATGTCTAGTGTGCTAATACGTGTAGCCTACAACTTTACAAACATTTGGCCAAATTTTCCAAGCTGTTGTTGTCATTTACGAGTTTACTGACATGTATTAGTAATTGTCATGAGTTGTAATGATTAATAATAATTCTGAATGTGACACTGTTGCAGGATTAATCATATGTGTAAATATGCATCACCATGTTTCTCAAAAAGTCATTACAAGGGTACTTAAGTTGTGCATGTTTGGACTAAAGTTAGGAAGATCTCAAAAACTTTCCTTTTAAAAAACCTCTCAGAATTAGCTTGCCTTTTGTAAAACACATCCACAGAAAATTTACCAAAAAAAAAATTTACTTGAGTACAAAAGATCATTTGCACTGGAATAACTCATTCCACGTGAATATTCCTGCTCAACTGCAAGAATTTAAGTTTAAGGAAGGACTGAGCTAACTTAATCTGTCACCTCAGTTAACTGTTCAGCATGTTCAGATAAATGTGGAAAGTAATAATTTACATACTAATATTTTAATCAGACTTGTTTACTATCACAGCTGTTGCACTTGCTTGTTCTGCTTCATGCACAGTAGTAGCACCTCTTGCCCCTAAAACACTCTGTTCATGTTCAGTTCTTAACATAGAGGGACTCTTTGGGCTAAAAAAGAGGTCATCAGAGTAGTAGTCATTTTGGTCTGCTAAGTCCTTTCTTCAAGTAAAGACCGTATATTGTAGAAGCTGTTGCCTGCTGAGAGCTGTATTCTGAGTTAGCCTTAGAATAATGAAGTTTGGACGAGATTCCTGGAGGTCAGTTGGGCCAAACACTGCTCAGAGCAGGGCCAACTTTGCTGTTAGATCGTGTTACTCAAGGCAGTGTCTAGTTGAGTGTTGAATGTCTCCAAGAAGAAAGGTGTTACAGCCTATCTAGGCACCTGTCCCATGGCTTGTTTATGCTTGTGGCAAAGAATTTTCCTCTTACATCGAACTGGATTTTTCCCTTAGTACAGCTTGTGTCTATTTCCACCTGTTGATTCCCAGGGCACCTTTTGAGATGAGTGTGCTTTGTTCTTTGTCATCTTTGAACCTTCCCAATAGCTGCAGGCAGCAATTAGCTCTCACCTCAGCCCCCTCTTCCTAGGACAGAAAAAGCCCAGCTTCTTCTGTCTCCTTGTACATCATATGCCCCTGCACCTGATGATGGTGGTAGCTCTACCCTATTGGCATGTTGTCATGGTTTTGGCCCAGCTGGCAACTATGCCCCACAGAGCCACTTGCTCTGTCCCAGCTGAAAACAGGACATATGCAGACTTCACTGTTAGGAGCACTCTTTCCAGTTAGAGATTGCTTTTAATTTTATTTTTACAGTTTCAATATGTAAAAAAAAAAAAAAACCAACAAAAAAACAAACACCCAAACTAAAAGTAAAACTAATCAATTTAAAAATAGAATAGTAAATGTAAAGTATTCATCCAAAATGCTGGTTCAAACTTGTAGTCTCTGCATTATGTCTGGGACAGTTAACATAGTAGTATCAGAACCATGCTTTATCTCATGTGGGAAACTGAGGGATGATTCTGTGTTTTTAATTGGTGTCAGCTTTAATTTTGATTTCAGCTTTAAATGTTCCTGGTTTTTTTGAACTGATGTTAGAATTAATTTTTTTTTCTAAGTTAGCTTTGTGGTTTTTTCTTTCTTAGTTTAATGACATACAACACAAAAAAAATAGGTAATAGTCTAAATCTCTAGCTACACTGAGGAAACACCTTGATGAATTCCTTAATGTCATAAAGTCTGAATGCAACAAAGTAGAACTCTTTAAAATCAAGCACATATAAAAGTACTTTCTACATGTGTTTTTCAGCAAAACACAGTACCAATATAATTTTTTTTTCTCAAGTACAGGAGAGAGTTGATTTTTTTTCATTATTTACTGCTTGACATGGATAGAAAATAAATGGTGCCTCTTGGTGCTGATGGAAGTGCACTGCAGCTGGCATTAACCAGAACTAGACACAATTCTAAAGTAAACATTTAAATTCATTACTGAAGTTTTTGTTAAATATAACAGTTAAGCACATACTGTCTTTCTAGATGCAGTACCCAACATAGGTTTGTAGCTTGGTATGGGCAATAGTGCAATACCATCTTGAATAGAAAGAGATAAAGGTACTAAAAAGTACTTTTGTTCATGTAGGTAGGTGTCCACACTTTGCAGAAGTACATGGAGGCATCCGTATGTAGTAATCAGAAAATAAATTTAATTACTGTTCATGCTTCAGGCAACCATACATGTTCCATATGACTGAGAGGTTCAATGGAGGCAATCATTTTGTGACAAATGACACTTAAGCTTTTTCTTGATTTGTGTTTAATTGATCTGATGAAAATAAAATCACATCTTTTTCGTATAAATATAGAAACGGGAATGATTGATTACTCTTATGAATGACTTTGTTCATTTTGGGTAATTTTTGTCACAGTTTTTTTTTTTTTTAATGAGAATATAATAGCTAGCAGAATGAGAAGGAGTGCACAACAGCTTGAAAAAATGTGGCTATAATTCTTCCCTGATGATGCCATATTGAGTTAATATCCTGCTGCTGCAGGGAGACTATATGGGTGTGGTAGTTTTACTAAAGAGAAAGAGTAATGAAAAGAAGTTTAGGTTCAAAAGACAAACATTCAAGTATTTTTTAAAGATACAGCTTAAGCAAGAAGATGCTACTTAGTATGATTGGCACTAGGGCACAGGCAATGCGGCAGGGCACTCTCCCTGTCACACAGACAACTATATCCCAATTCCTCTACTTGATCTAAACAGGTGACCCTTTGAATTCAGTGTAGGTCAGCTGTACAGTTGTAGACATCAGTAGCATCCTGTATGACTTACTGAAGTAAGATCCATTAAGCAGTGTGATTTCGTAGAAGAGGTAACTCACATGGGGCTCATCACAGCAGCTGTATTGGTAGCTGTGCAGTTCGTATTGAACAGCTCACTGTGCTCACAGACTCAGGGGATAGCAGAATGGATCTGCGGGTTCTGGACTTTCTTCCCATGAGAAAACAAAATCCTTTATTTAGCTTATCCACTACCTTCTCCTCTACAAACTGTAAGAGAAATGGTGAACTTGAGGGCGGCTCAGGCTGTTCTTAGACTGAATGAACCTCTGGAAGCCCCCCTCTGTCTCAACTAAACATGAAGGGAGATTAGCAGGCACCTTTTATATGCCTATGTTAGGTGACTTGAATCTGAGCCATACTTTTTAAATATTTCTGCCAGCTCAGAACATGAAATTCTCCCCTTTCCCATACTGCTGCCAGTGAAGTCAAACGTGGATGCATTGATGTTGACAGATGAGAGCTTTGGTTAGCTTAGCTGATGCCCTTCAGAGGCATCAGGTAACTAGCTGGCAGAAAACGCCTTTCCTTGGCATGTGTTAGACCTGCTGAGGGGGCTCTGCCAGCCCAGCTGTCACAGCGAAGGCTTCTTCACAAATCCCAGGCTGTGTCCTCGGAATTTCAATACCTGGCATACAACTGTGGTAGTGGCCTGTGCAGGTCCTCGTTGCCACTTCTCTTTGTGCCCCAGGGCACCTACCAGTCCTGTGATACCTATAAGCATGTTGCTGATATATATGTGATGAATGTTCATGCCCAACCCTAATTGACCTTCACAAAGAAATTATGGTAACACGTTGAGGGTTTCTGTATTTGTCAGTCAGACAACTATTAAAAGCTGCAGTGTATTCTGTACTGCTGTTTCTTACCGTATCTATTAGAAAGGTGGTTCCCAAACTCCATTACAAAAGTCCATGTCAAATGCTCTGTCCAGGTAACATGCTAACTATAAAATCTGTATTGCCTCTGTGATGCTTTCAGTTATAGCCTCGTTGTTAAGACTGTATGATGATCTGTAAGAAGTAATTTGAGTTCAGAGTGGACCCAAATGTTTGGTAACCTCTGAATTAGAAGCTGACTTTTGTGTCCTACTCTAGTTCTTTGGCTTTTTTTCCTGTCAAACTTCTCTCTTCATTTATGGAAAATTGCTTGCTGGTAACCTAGCTCAAAAAGGCCCCCACAGACCCTGTAAAAGTGGAAGGGGAAAGGCAGCATGCTGGCACTGTGAAAATAATTTGCTTCTATATGAGCATGAAACCATATTATAATTGTTTTACTTGTCAGGCAAAACTATTTTTGTTATGTGCTACATCCCTTCACAACTAATGTTTCCTTCCTCTCTGCTACTCTTAGGGAATTGTTAGAATCAAGTAAATGCAGGTTGAAATCTCCCCAGAAGATACTCCAACTGCTGAAACCAATAGCTAGACAAATGCACAGATAAAAAGCTACGTAGATGCATGTCCATTCCAGGCAGAGCTAGTGTAGATTGTCTCAATACAGTGACGGAGCAAAGGCTGAAGCTGTTACACGCATGCTTGTTCTAGCTGGACTGCCACTAGTGTGACTGGCATGAGGACTCCAGTACAAATTGAGAAGTAAAATCTCATGTCTACTTATTCTTCTATGTAGTGTCTCTTCTTGCAGTCAAAACAGAACCCATGAACAACAGTGAAACAACAACAACAACTGGAGATGGATCGCTTGACACTTTTACTGGGTCAGGTAAAGCCATAATAAGATCACGTTTTGTTAGATGCACATTATTGTAGCATTTAATAATATTCACTAATGAACATTCCGTTGCATGGAAGCAATTTTTAAAAAGCTACAATAAAGTAACATCTCAATACCTAATAATAATAAAAATAATAATATCTTTTTCATTTTTGTAAGTGCAACTCCGCAATTTACGTGAAGTGGGATCTTAAAGAAGCCTTCATGATTCCTAAGATGATTGTTGTATGCAAAAATCTTATTGTAATACTGTTATTATAGTACTGTATATTTTTTCTCAGGGTGAGTCGTATATGATCTCAGGAAGAAAAGTGGATTGTATTAGTAACAGCCACGCAAATTTGTAAAATTTAAAATCTTAAGGGTTGTATCTCAGTGCTAATGGTTTTACTCCTATAAGCAGTGTGTTAGTTTAAATGCTGACCAGGTTGCCATAAGTTACTTTTTTTCCATTGCAGTGAGCTACTTTCTTTCCATGAAAATAAAGTTTATATTTTAATTTAAATAATCATAAGTTTCAATTACTTCTTAAAAAAATCAAACAAACAGCAGTTTTTAAGTAGATCACTATAAATTATTTAAATGTGATGAACTGTGGAAAAGTACAGATAATCTGCCTTCTAATCATTAAGTTGAATCCAGCTAATAATAATATTAACAAGGAGAGGAGGGAGAGTAAATTTTACATCTGAAAATACCAGTTCAGTAATGGCTTGACTGAAATGTCACCGAAGCCAGAAATCGCAACTCACACTGATGCTTTTATTACTTTGGTAGACTTAGGTAGTCAAACCATATATAAAATATTTTGGAAATCACAATGTTTCTGTGTAATTAAATTTGTTTTAAAATAAGTGTATGTTTCTGGAATTTCTTGTAAGCATACTCCAAAGTTGATTATTCAGAAAAATATTTATGACAAATTTAATGCCTGAGGAAAAGGTTGCTTGTGAGATTTAAAGCAAGCATATACTATTTCTGATTAGAAAAAATGAAAACATTGTCTCCATTATAATTATACTGAAAGGAACTACATCAACCACAGCAAGTTCCATGAAATATTAAATAATATTGGCTAAAATCTAGCTTTTCTTGTTCACTCTGTTGTTACTCAATGCTAGTATTTTATTAGTAATGATTAGAGATTATAAAATGTCCAACCACATATATGATTTTGTCATTGTAAGTGGAATTTTATCAGCTTCTGCCATGTGTTTAAGGCAGCTGAGTTATATTCCATGTGTAAAACATGACTAAGGCAACATTGGGGTGCTGAAAATTGCAGCCTCCAGTTCAGGTTAGATAGTTAAGTAACAACCTGATTTCCCCAGGTGCCACTCACCCATCAGCTTCCACTGGCTTCAAAAGAAGTGCTGAGATCTTTACACTTTGGATATTTGGAAAGTTGGTGCCTCCCCCCGCCAAAAAAAAAAAAAGGCAGGAATTTGAGCCTTGCACAGTTCTTTTTTGCCTGGTGACCACCTGCATACTCAAAAGAAATATGAACCTGATTCTCAATTTAGTCCACAAGCTCAAGCATTAAATGAGTACAGTCATTCACAGTGGGAAATCGATAGTCTGCCTGTCTGGGTGACGTGCAGTCTTCATCATCAGAGCGAGACGCAGATCTGCCTTGATAATGCACTGAGCCTTTCATAAAGTTTGAATACCTTACTTTCACGCTTGCCTTTTACTGGTACTTGCAATTTGAACAATTTGATTGACTCTAGGTTTGTGGGAGAAGTGCTAAAGAACAACAAAAACTCAACAAAACCAGTATTTTTCTTGATTTTTTAACCTAACTGGTTATTTGAGAAGTTTAGTGGGTTGCCAAAGACAGTAAACACTGACAAGTAGGCAGATGCATTTCAGATTAGCCAGCTGCAACTGAAAAAATGCATAACAAACCCCAACACTGAACAGTTTGTTTTTCATTATAATCAGGTACATAGGTGTGTTATTCCCCACTGTGACACAGTGATAATGCCGGTACTTTCCTGCAGCTCTCAGAGGACCTATGTGTTCGTTTCATGAGGATACCCAGACACATAGGCCACTGTTACCTATATCTTGTACAAGCTTAGGTCAGAAGCACTCAAGTGTTCTTCGTTGAATAGGGAAGGATTTAGGTGTATTCGTAAATATTTTATGACATGAGACATGGGTGAAAAGAGAACTCCTGGTGCTGAGAGTCTGCCATGCAGAAATCCTCTCTTTCAAATACTCTACCCATTAAAATTGATTTTCATGCTCCAAGGGCAGTCAAAACATGTGACTTGTCCTGGAACTGAGCAGAAGGCTGAACAAGCCCTGTGGGATGTAAAATAGTCAGCTGTGTCCCTAATGACCAGCTGTAACACAGAAAGTGATGGTCAAACAGACTGTTTGAGGTATAGGGTGGGAGAGACAGATTAGACTCCACAGAAAACTGTGATTCTCTGAACTGTTGATTGAAAAGTTAGAAAGATAAAGTATGTAGATCTCTTGAATTTAGAGTGACAGTTGCCCTAGTGGCCTTGAGCAGGCCATGGGGACTGGGAAGCTCCTGCTCAGGACTATAGTTCACGTGTTGCAGCTCACACTCAGGGCTGCAGTTCCCCTGTCCTGCAGAGCTGCTGCTGGGAGAACCCATTCTAACCCTCTTAGCATGGGTTAGCCAGGTGAGGAGTCACACTGTGCATCCTCCTTCCTCCTCCTTTTTCTTCAAAGAACACTTGGTAATTAAGCGTACTCGGTTTGAAGCTTTGTGGTTCTTCAGCAGACTCCCACCAGGGTGGCATTCACAGGGTTTGGGGAGGTGCACAGCCTTGAACTGAGATTTTCATACACTGTGAATTTGTTACAGCTGCTGTGCTGTGAGTGCATGCATTCTTGGTATATATTGCTTACGATAGTGGATTAGTTTAAGAACTGTCATTGTAATGAAGTGGAGAGAAAGATACTTGTTGATCTCATTATCCTTTTTACTTGGGATTTATTACACAAAAAAAAAAAAGGATATAGAAAACAGTTCCTGAAGGCTATAAAGGTGAAGATAGGAAATGTTACTGCTGTTTAACCTACATTTGGTTGACTTGTGCATAGAGATTGTGATGTTACTTAAATGAGGTCCTTTTAACCTAACTTTTTTACACAGAATTTTCCAGATGTGTAATGAAAAAATACAAAACTCCAACCTGTATTAATATACTGAACCCAAGACATACTGTTAAAACAGTTAATGGTCATTTAAATCCTCCACAGCCACCTTGGCCAGTTGATCTGAGAGAGTAACTGGTAAGAGCTGGCTGTCAACCTTCTTATCCCCTCTGTGAAACAATGCTGCTGGGGATTGGAATATGCCCTCGGTGCTGTAGGGGAACTGGAGAGGTCAAGGGTCTTATACCTGCCCTGAAAAACATTCCTCTGGTAAATTCAAATAGTAAAAGCTTAGGAATATTTGACTTTTTCAGAGAAGAAACAATTTTGGTGGGGTTTTTTGTTTGTTTGTTTGTTTTTTAATATAAGCAACACAAAACAGCATTTAGCCCCATTCATTTAAATGGCTGTATACAGTGGCACAGTTACAAAACCCACAGCAACCAGCCTCCACCATCTCCTCCATTTCCAGCAGTCCTCAGAAGTAGGGTTAGAAGGCTATCCAGCAGCCAGAGTTGTTTAATTTTGGTAAACCTTAGAATTACCAGTTTGATCTATGAGATACAGATGAAGTCCACAGACTCCACTCAGTCATAACGTTCTCTTATGGTAGGCCTGACATCCTGTGTTTCTCAAACATCTTATAGTGTAAAATGTAGTACACAAATTGCTGGGACAAACTACAGAGGAAGAGTGAAAAAACCAGATTTTTTTAGTCTTGCCTCTTTTTCTTCCTTACAAGTGGTAGTATCATCAGGGAAAATAGGAAAAAAAGAAAAAATAAGGAAATTTAAAACCAGACATATTCCAAAAGTATTTTATTTTCTTCTCTGAATTTATAAAATAAGGCATATTCAGAAAGAAAAAAAAGCAGGCAGGACAGTTTTGTTTTTTTTTTTTTTTTAAATTAGGTTTTGATAGCTCAAGTGATCTAAATAAATAGTAATTAATTTCTTTTGTAGTTTACATAGGGTGTGGTGGCACGGTAAATGTGCTTTAATGAAACTGATTATTCAAGTAAACTCTTACACAGCAAATGATCAGACAAAAAGTGGAACAGTACAGGCAGAAGTGATCCAATAAGCCAGTAATGGATCACAAAAGTTCCTTGCCCTGAGAATCACCAAGGTCACTCTGTTAGCTATTGTTTGTCTTTAGAAAGGTCACAGAGATACAAAAGGGAAGAGTGATTACTCTTTGAGCATTAACTAAACAAGAGCATCCTTTAGAGTTCTATGGACTGATTATGTTGATAGATACAGCTATAGCTTTGTCTAACTCTGGGAATAGTTGCCTGCACATGTAGCAGATCGTTCTGTGGGTTGAGCTTAAGCTATAGAAAGGCATTCTCAGAAAAAAAAAAAAAATACCCCCACAAAATAAAATTCAGCAGATTTCCATCATGGGCAGACCCTCAATATCTTTTCAGCCAGTAACTCTTTTCTGAAATCTGATGGCACACATTTTTAAAGTTATTATCCAGTTCTTCTTCACTTTCAAGCCAAACACAACTGCACATTTTAAAAAGAAGTTAATTGTTTTTCCTTCTACTGTATTTTCCTTTTAAGTCCTATACATTCTAAATGCATTTAAACTAGCTTTAAAAATATCAAGCTCTGCAAATGTTCAAAGCAATAGATCTGAAAGACGTTAATTAGGCCTGGATGTAGAAATATATCATGTTTCATAAAATAGTTAGGAACCTAAACCTATTTGTCACTTATATAATTCTGAATGTTCATTTCTACTACCATTACGAATAACTCAGGAAGAGGGTACACTTTGAAGTACAACTATGATTGATTAGACTAAAGAAATTCCAGTGCTTCGTTGTGTACTACTTTAATCTTTTGAAAAGTGAATGAACAGCAGATGGCCTAATAAAGACACTCTGTATGTTTGCCCAGTATGGATTTGCTCTGAAGGGATTGGTTCGACACTTTAGAGTACGTGTATTTGGAATACATCTGTCTTAGTCAAGACAGATGGCTAAGGGAAAGAGAAACTTCCAAACACTTGGAATTAATCCAGTGTGAGCATCGCCTCTGAATGAAATTTTAATTGGTTATGACTATTGTTCTGTTAGCTTTCTTGGAAGAATGCAGCTGTGAATAGTATAGACATGCACGGTTTGGATGGCTATCTAACAGGACTGTTTATCCATACGTCGAAGAAAAAATATTGTTGTTAGTGGATGCATTCTAATCTGCCTGTGGATAAAGAATGCTATTTGCTTTCTGGTGATCAGTCCAGTGTCATCCATCACTTAAGCTGACAAAAATTAGCCACAACCGTGTAAAGTCTGCTTTTCCATCCAGTATTAAAATTGAACTTGTTAATGTGAGCCAAATCACAAGATTCTTTTTAATTATCCCTTTTAATGCAACTTGCAAATTTGAAGGATCTACGGTGTGTGGGTCACAGCTGATGTAGGAAATATATGCCTCTGCAGTATACTCAGAAATGTGTCAGTCAAGCTGAAAAAGCACAACTCACCCATGCTAGCTAGAGGGTTCCACACAGCAGTGAATGATTTACAGTTTTTTAATTTTTTTTATTAAGATGTTGGAGTTCAAGGGACATCTGCTTCCTTAGAAAACTGTCCATTTCAATAAGCTTCTCTGTTAATGTTGCTGCATTAGTGTTCACACTGTTTGGCTGTATCGGTCTCATGGTGTTTCTAACTGCTGTACTCTTGTTTTCTGTTTTGCAGTAATAACAAGTAGTGGCTACAGTCCAAGATCGGCACACCAGTACTCTCCACAGATATATCCCTCCAAGTTAGTGTCTGCACCTCTTCTAGCCTTTTATAGGGAATTGACCTTGGCTGTAGGCAGTTCTGTGGTGTGTTGCAAACAAGTGTTCATCAGCAGAAGAAAAAGAGAAAAAGGAAAATTCTTAAGCCACAGTACTGGTTCCCTCTCCAACTTTTTTTTCCTCATGTCTCTGCAGAGTAAGATCCTGCTGTGTGCAGTATTGCTGCACAAGAAATACCCTTGAATATCTGCACACAACAGAAGGAAAAAATCAGACTATTGCGTTCTCGGACATCAGCATATTAACAGTGCTGGCAATATATACAGAAATATTTTGGAGAAGTCAGTTTATATATAGAAATCATAATTGCATGCGCAAGTTGCATTCTGGGGGTAGCCCTGTCCCTGACCCTCCTAGGGCCAGGGTTACCAAACACTCCCAAACTTGACAATCATGAACCACCCTTTTCTCATTCCTCTCCAATATCGTAACATTTAATAATCAAATCAAATAAATTAAATAATTTGGATTAGCTTTTAATCTCATTATTTTTAAGCCAACATGTGATAGGAATAGAAAATTCCTTTTTTTTGTGTGTGTGTGTGTTGAGGAAAACAGGATCTTGGACAATCATGTGAATCCAGGAGTGGGAATATTAGCAAAAAACACAGAAGATGTTCACAGAAGATGAAACTACTGCAGTTGGCAGTCTTATTAGTTTGCTTGTCCTAGAATCAGTTTTGTGCACAGGGGTACTTGATTGCAGTATGCCATCTATTTTTTTCCACATATTTGATACAGGACACAGCTACCTGTGTGACTTGGATACAGAGAAAACATTGACATTTTAGCTGATTAGGTTTTTTCAAGTTTTGGGGGTTTTTTTCCTAAATTTGTATTAGTATGATGGTAGCCAATATTTATTAATACAGAAAGTAGGTGCCTGAACTAAGAACCCTCATTCGACTTAAAACAGGTTTTGGCAAACTATATTAGATACTTTTGGCCACATACATTACAAGGTTTAATAGAATTTTTTAATCTACTGTTACAATTTTTTGGCATATAAATTAATGAGCAATCCTTTTCTGATAGTAAAAGCTGCCAACTGTACTGAACTAATTAGAAAGAAAAAAAAAAATTTTAAAAATTAGAATCTGAAATTCAGTCATGGCTTTTAATGGCCAGGTTTCAGTTAGCGTAATTCTGCAGAGTGTGTTTATTCAACTCTTGGTCCATAAAGTCTTATTTGACTTACAAAACATTCCAAGAAAAATGTTTCTCTGTATATTTTTGCAACTCTAGAGGGCAAAAATTTTAAACTTGGTTTTATTCAATCTCTCTATAAAACCCCAGTATTCATAAATAAAGACCATTTATATTTCCATTCTATTTCTCTAGCCCATATTTTCCAAACAAAGCCCATCTGGTTACCAAAGTATTGCTGTCAATATTTTTGTGCCCCTCTTAATGTGTATGATCCATCTCCCATTGAAGCCAGAGGCTAGATGTCTGTTGAAGCAGAACCTACAAAGACGACATAATGTACTAGCTTCAACATTCACCTCTGTATTTTCTTCATTCTTGTGGTCCAAATTTCCCTCCACTGGATTAAAAAAGCATGGGGGCTTTTCTAATTTATCTTGGCTGAAAGGGGGTAAAATCCATATAAAGCTGTTCAGCAGTGTCACAGCCCACTTTGAAGTGGACAAAGTAGCTTAAGAATCAAAGTGTGGTGATGGGATGGCACAGAATATTCACTGTGCCTTGGGGAATGTGAGACAGAGTGTTTTTCAGCTTATTTCAGTAGGGGATGGAACAAATCCCAGAAGAGGAGCAGTTGGCAGAATAATGAACTGCCTTTGGATGTCTTTAAACCTTTTGCTTTACTTTATTGCTTGAATCAACATACAAAGTATTTGTTGCCACAGTAATGCTATTTTTCCTGATATTTAGGCCCTATCCACACATTCTTTCTACACCAGCAGCTCAAACAATGTCTGCCTATGCCGGACAAACCCAGTATTCAGGAATGCAGCAACCAGCGGTCTATACAGCCTACTCACAGACAGGACAGCCCTACAGCTTACCCACTTACGGTATTTGGCCTCTTATTCCTTCACTTTACGTAAAATAAAAATCATTGCCAGCATGAGTGTTTTTTGCTTTCTGTTTTATTTTTCCCGACTGTAAGAAAATATTTTAAAGAATCAGTTCAAAATTAATTTCTTATACAGATTTGGGTGTAATGTTGCCAGGCATCAAGACAGAAAGTGGGCTCTCGCAGACCCAATCACCACTGCAGAGCGGGTGCCTCAGTTACAGCCCGGGGTTTTCTACCCCACAGCCAGGCCAAACACCCTACTCTTATCAGATGCCAGGTGAGTAGCCAACTCTAAAATTTAAAGCTAAGTATTTATTTCCATTACTAATATGCATATATGTGTGTTCATTTTGATAAGTTAGGTTGGACCTGGTCATGCAGTGCGGTCCCTATTTGCACCTTTTTTGTTTTGTTTTTTTTTTTTTGGTGAGGCAAAATTACATGACAGGACTGGAAGCATGTTATATTTATTAATATAAACAAGTCTCTTTGCCTTATTTCCATGTTTCTGAGTATGACATAATTTGATACTTGTATTAACATAATTTTTTTAAATTTCTCTTTAATTCATATTTATTCTTTCATTTACTATAAATTTAGTTATTTACTTATACCCTTTAATCATTAACAACCTGTTCTATTTGGATAATTTTTAAGCTTCTTGTACAGTTAATCTTTTGAATATACAATTTACAAATACAAATTACTGTATGAACATCTGATTTATGTTGAAAACAAGGACATGTCTCATTACAGATTGATTAAAAACACACAAATCATTAAATAGTCTTTGAAAATATTTTGTTTTGTGAATGTAACACTAAGGGGTTAGAAATCAAGGCAAAAGAGAAAAAAGTATTTTAGGAGAGGTGACACACTGCAATAAATTGAAAAATGCTTTCTAGATCAGTGGAATGGCTTATTGCTAATATCTTCCTTTCACAGTGTGAAGAGAAATGTATACCTGTATGTGTTTCATTATAATATTATTTTATCAGTAAAAAAAAGTTGTTTTTTCTTCTGATTCTTTTACATCTTAAAATGGAGCATTCTATTTAGAATTTTATTTTGATTCACAAGCAACTTCTCACAGTTAGTTGTATTTTTTTAATTTTAGGTTCTAGTTTTACACCGTCATCCACTATTTACTCAAACAATTCTGTTTCGAATTCCACAAACTTCAGTAGTTCACAACAGGTATGAATTTTTATTTGCCAATTATGAGAGGATTTATATCACTCCAGTTATAGCATGTTACATTAATTTAGTTCTGTAATGTTGAATGACATTCACTGTGGTTCAGTGCTGTTTTCTGAGGAAAGTGACCAAAATCCCATTGGAAGCCTAGTTACATCTTGTGGCACTTAAATGTTTCAGCAGTCTCACTGTAGTCTTTTACCAAATATCCTTAAATTAAAAGACATTAAATATTCTTAAATTTAAAAAACTGCTAACCAAGCCTTCAAAATGCTTGCAAAAGTCATATGATTGTACATTTAGAAATACTTAACGGAAAAAAATCATTCATTACTGTACTTAATTAAGTGCTCTGCTGCATTTGCTGTTTTAGGATTATCCATCATACACAGCTTTTGGCCAAAATCAATATGCACAGTATTACTCAGCATCAACATATGGTGCATATATGACCTCAAACAACACGGCTGATGGCACTTCTTCATCATCATCAACCTACCAGTTACAGGACTCTCTCCCTGGGTTGACTAGTCAACCAGGTACAGATCTACATTCAGGTGAAAACAATTTTTGTATTTTATTCTCTACTTGTATAAAGACAAGATTTCCACATCCATCTTGCATTGCTTGAATGCCTTGTTTGAATATTGACGTTTTAAGTTCATGCCTTTCAGAAAGCTTCACAATGTAAACCAGCCAAAATAAGCTTTTTTACTGTATAGTTAGGAAACCTGTCATGTTTGTTTGCTAGTTAAATTAAGTGTTTTCAGGCTGAGATGGTTGTCACTATTACTGACAGTGGGACATTCCTGTTTCCGCCTACACAGTCTAAAGTATTGACGTAAAGAATTTAAAACAAGATACCATTGTTCATTTAACTATGTCCCAGCCATGCTTGCAAGAGTATGGCTGGGCTTTATTCAAATGTGTACGAGCCATCCATGCTTGCTAATTCACTAATTTAGGTAACAAAGAATAGAGAAATAGGTTAATAGCAGAAGTCTCTTAAAAAAAAAATCGTATTGAACTAGTCGAATTTGCAAAAAGAGCATTCTCAGGAGACCCGAGGAGGCTCCCTTTGCCTGCCCAGCCCTGCCCTCTTGTGCACAGCAACCACATCACAGCCACAGCACAGTAGCCTGTTACTTGTATTCCTAGGACACCCCCCGTGGTAATGACAGTTCTTCATTTTTCCTCAGCGCTCAGAGCAATGTCTTCCAGGGCTGCTTCTCTTCACTGGCTTCACTCAGGCAGCATGGGTAGTGTCTCCCTTACCCACAAACTGTGAGCATTTCTAAAAAGACTAACAAACTGACTTTTGGATTAGGCTCTGCATAGGGGAGGAATTTGTGCTTTATCAACTTGCTGCACAAATCTTCCTAACAACTGCACCATCTTACTGAAAAGTACAGTAGAAGGACTGATGTATTATAATAAATGTGTACAAAGGAAAGGGAACACTGTGTAGAAAAGTATAAGCAAGGCCTCATACTTAATATAAGCTGCTTAAATTTACTAAAAATGTTGGAACTTTAATTATGTGAGTTGAAATTTTTTCTACCCAGATGTTTTCCTCGGGTTAATTTTTATATCCAACTGTATGTGCATGTGTGTTTGTGTTTGGGGTGTGGTGTGGTATGGTAGGGATATGGATATGGATATGGATATGGATATGGATATGGATATGGCATGGAATAGCTATGGGGAGATACACATTCCCTTGATTTTTGATGAAAAGTGTAATATATTATTTGGTAGTCTCAGAATGCAAATTTAGGAAAAAAAAGGTAAGAAATAATGCAAAATCAAGTGAAATTTCAACAGTTGGAGGATATCTATAACAGATACAAATCATATGTAATTTTAAAAGAGAATGAAGTGTACTCAAAAGTTATGATAACTGTGCATGTCCTGTGTACTTTTCCTTGTTTCTTTGTTATTCTTTCATATTCTCATTTGAGAAAATCAGTTTCCCATATTGCCTCTCCCTTACATATCTCTGTTTCCTAAAAATGCAATGTAAATTTATCATCTATTACAAACACCTTTAGTATTGAAGAGAATTAGCAAAAAAAAAAGGAATCTTACAGAATTTGAACAGGTTGAAAAATTGCTGAAGGTTTCACGTCTGTGAAACATTAAAGATTTTTCTTGGTTGTGGATTGTTTAAACATATGAAGTTGCTTTCTTTTTAAATAGGTTATGCATCTGAACTTAACAAATCCACCCCCATCTGTTCCTTATTTCTGTTGAGTGTTGCACTGATCATGCGACCCTCTGCTGAAACGCCCACTTTGTGAATGCATGTCATGCCTTTGCACTTCTGTGTCACTGTAAAAATACATTTCCATTGGTGAGGTGCAGTGTCTTGGAGACCATTTCAGATACTGCAGATCTTTAGCACTCAGCAAGTTCACTTACTGTCTAACAGGCCTTAAGACTTACTCCAACTAAAACCTAAGACAAAACACAGCAAGGCACTTCATTCTTCTGCCATCTCTTCTAACTCTTAATTCAAATATCTAATCAAAAGCTCTAGTACCCTCCAAAAATACAGGATTTCACAGTTTCATAATAAATCCTCATCAGATCAAGAGTTAATAACAGTTACAATTTTATTTATTGACCAACTAAAGAAAATGAGATAAAAATTGAAATAGATTTTACTCTTTCTGCTATTCATGACAAGCAATAACACGTTACAAGCCAGAAAAAAACCTCAGGCTTGTAACGTTGAAGCCATCTTCTGGCTGCTGTGTCTGGTAAGAATCTGTAACAAAAGTCAATCCATAAGGAAAGTATGAAGGGGCTCAGAAATTCATCCATCCCACATCTGTGTGATGTTCAAGCCTCAAGGCTTCTCTTCTGAGTTTGTATTGTGCCTGTCTTATATTAAGATTTTTCAAAATGCACTGATTACCACAGAGCATTTGTGAGAGAAATAGGTGTCTCCTAGGGCACTTCATCTCAAATAGGGATGACTCAGATGAACCCTGAGATGAGGTCTCAGGAGATAAGTATATTTAAGTACATTTGATGAATACATAAGTACATTTCATCTAGGGCAAATAAAACTTTAGCAGAGGAAATAGACCTGGATAAAAGCTTTATGTTAAGGCATCTCACTTTCAGATGTCCAGGGTTCAGGGAGGTGAATCACTGTGGGATATTAGCTCCTGTTTGGTTACTGTGATGTAGCAAAGCTTACTCTCTCTTAGTTTGGTACCCACAATGAAGTCACCCTTTGCAGATTCTCTGGGAGATGGCATTAGGTTTAAAAGCACTGCGTAAACTCTTTGCTCTCACTTAAGTGGTAGAACCGTGTTTTAACAAGGAGGAGAGGATGTTCACATCAAACCAGAGATGGGAAACAATATTCTGGATGTGAAAGACCACCTCCATTTGTAGCGGTGGTGCTGTAACCCCCTGTCCTCCAGCTGGGGTGCTGCAAGGTCTCCACTGAACAAAAGGCTTCATATTGGTTATGAACAAGTGTATGAATATGTGTAACTACAACTGTGATAAAGCAGTCATTCCACATTCTGGTTTTAACAGTTTCCTCTTGTTTTGTTGGATCTCTGATGCTGTTCATAGTCCAGGAGGTTATGTAGTATAGTTATTAGGCATGTGTTGAATCTTGGAAAAACCAAAAAAATTTCAAACATTGTAACAAAAATTTCTTCTAATATGAGGTGCAGTAGGAACTCTTCACAAGGGTAATGTTTTCAGTACTCTTTGATACTAGAATTTCTAACTTTTCTTTATGTTACATGGCTGAATTTTTAATAAGTTTTCTTTTTATCAGCATTGACCTCATTTCTAAAGCAGAGGATAAGAGAATGCAGTTTCTCCTTTAGTGTGCTGTTGGTAAAAAGCAATTCAAGCAATTAAGCCTACAGTTGTTTGAAAAAACATGCACTACTGACTTCTGCAGTTCTAAAATAGATGCATACCTTGCATTCAAGTAAGAGACAGCTGGTCTTTCTGATTTACAGATTAACATAATGAAATAAACTTGGCTTTAAATAGATTTTACAATGAACAATGATTAGTTAAAATTCTGATTAGTAGATAATGATGCAAACATGCACAGCATTGACCCAAACAGAAGCCTGGGGCAAGTAGTAATGGCGAATGCTAAATGAAAATTGAAGTTATTTACTTTGATTGTTGGATACTTTCAGAGAAAATTTAGAACAGGGTTTCTTTTTTTATATTTTATTTATAAACACAGTAATTGAAAATAGATGTTTTAATACATTACTGTAGAATGAGTTTTGATTTTATTGTAAAATGTTGAAATGTTATAAATATGAAGACTTTTGTGGTAAGAATGTAAACATCCATCTTCACTTAATTTTTGCCTTTTCATTTCTTGTTTGTTTTGGGATATTTTTGCCACTCTGTCTGTAAAATCTAGGAAACTGTGTATTTGTACAGAACTCTTGCACACTCAGAACTTCTTTTGAAGCCAGTGTAGGTCTTTGCTGCACAAGGATTCTGGTTAAGAAGCTTCTTTTTGTACATTTGTACATTTACCAAAATACATTTTGCTGTTCTTCTTACAGGCAAAGAATTAAGATAATGTAATCTTATTGATTTTTTTACTGCCTGCAGTGTCCTTACTGACATCAACGTCATACAAGGAATAGAAGTGATTACTCAACAAGAACTCTCTCCCTTCATTCTGTAGGGACAAGTGAAACCACAATGAGAACATTTTTCATTAGGTATTATTATTGCTGCTTAACTTGTCTGCCATTTTTTGGCAAATAAGAATTTTAACTGACAGAGAAGCTACTATAGAGTGCATATAATCCTTATCCAGTTCAGGACAGTATCTGGAATAAATTCTCAAATTGCAGTTTTGAAAAATCTCTTCTGAAAGTTTTGCTCTGTTCTGCACAAGCAGAGAAGCACTTTCTGGGGAAGCAAGAGAGGCAAATCTGATTTCCTCCTATTTCATGGAGAATTCATCACCTTCCACACAGATACAGGGCTGTGGATTCTGGGCCATGAAAATAAGTCTTTATACTTCATTTAAATCAATCAGTCAAATAAACAAGTGTACCCCTGAGAACTTAGTTCCTGAGCCTACTGGTTAGGACATATCTAAGTTTCTTCTTATTCTCCCTTTCTTGAATCAGGAATACTTTCATCACAATGTGTAGAGCTCTAGAGCTGCCATTCAGGAATGTAACAGTATGGGCTTAAATCTTTTTCTTCCAAAAAATACAACAGTATTTTTCCTGTCAAGATGTTTAAGTATATCTTCCAGTATATTTATTTTTAGTATATTTCGTATGTGGTTGACTGCAAGGTGTAAACAAATGATGGAAGAGATTAGGAATTCAGCTATTGTGTTACATTATGTGTTACTGCAGACTCAACTGACACTGCAGTCTCCTTTTTCTTCTTAGAGCCTACTAGATCAGAATTGGTTTCTTTTCTTTGTTGTGGAGAAGCAAAGAGGTCAATGGCTTGAGGAAGATCACAGAAACATTCAGTTATTCACATCTCAGTGAGTCTTTTGGTCCTACCTGTTCATGGACGAGTCACCTGAGGTCATGTTGCGCAGGGCTGTGTCCAGTGGAGTTTTGAGTATGTCCAAAAATGGAGAATGCACAACCTCTCTTCTGGGAACCCATCCCAGGTCCTGACACTCTCTCAGTGAAGGAATTTTGCCTAGTATCTAATAGGAATAACCCTTGATGTGATTTCTATCTGTGCATCTTGTCCTTTTCCTGCATACCCCTAAGAAAAGTCACTTAGCCTCTTTTACTACATGCTCAGCCCATTACCTGACTTGGTGGCCCTTACCTGGACTAATTCCAGATTGTCAATATCTCCCTTCTACTTGGGAACCCAAAACAAGGCATTTTTTCAGATATGGTCTTGAAAGTTCAGAGCAGAGCAGAAAAAATCACTCTCCTTCATCTGCTGGCCACTCAGTGATGCTCTTTAGTAACAATGAAAAAAAAAATTCAGATTCCAGCTCAAAATCAGATACATTATAGATGATTATTGGGGAATTCTTTTACCAAGTGTTAATTTATTCTGCAAATGTGCCATCATGAGCACTTTTAACAAATATTACCAAAGTGGTCCAGAAATGCACAATTACAGGCAGCTCAAGGACTCCCTGGAATCAAACTCTATAAGAGATATCAGATCAAACCTGTACCCTTTCCTTCTTTAACAGAGAAAATTGAAATCATTGTAGTATAAACAATGAAAGACTTTTTTTGTCATTTAGCACTTGGGAACCTAGCCAAACTACACTAATTGCTACAAGTTTTAAAGGGGCACTGTGTTATGAAGAAAATTATATTTTTGGTTTACTGAACTGTGGCATCCAAGTGATTTGTAAAGAGAAGTTCCATGCCATCCTTCCTGGAGATATCTTCTTCAGTCAGTCTATCTTACATAGCTACTGGTTCATGATTACCTCTAAAGCCCTTTGTTACCATGAGAAAGTAGATTAAATGAGTAAGTCAAGGCCTGACTGTGATTAAGACCAGATATGCCATACCAGATCAAAGGTCTTTCCAGCCCACCATACCTGGAGAAAAAGATGATCAGAACATAGCAAGTACGACTTCATCCGTTTTCAGGTACTAACTGGAATATTGCATTTATAAAGCATATAATATATGACTTTCCTCTGCCAATTTTTGGACAGAGATAAGGTAAAAGAAAAGAGTGAATACTACTAGAGAGCAGGTGACATGGGAGGAGGAGATGAAGCAGGAAGCTGCCTGGCTGTTCTGGTAAAAGTAGTGCAGGACTTGGAAATAAGTGTAGCTGAACTGCAAATGTGGGAAATAAACTACCTTAAGTAAAAGGCACTTCATGTTTTGAGGAGTCATTAGTGTGACTTCTAAAATACATCATCCTTGGACATATTGATATTTTGCCTGGGCTCTTGCATATTTGTGTATATATCTGCAGATGCATATATCATTTTAATCTTATTCTGCTAAGGTTTATAATGTTTCACTGGTAAAGCCACCTTATCACTCATTTTTTACAGCTTTTCTTACGTGTATCTTGTCATTGATTTTGCATACAGACATAACCAGCTTTGAGAAAAGAAAAAAAAAGTTAATTATTAAAAACCCAGCACTAATTTTTACATGAATGGTTGACTTTACAGGGGAGTTTGACACAGTGCAGAGCCCCTCCACGCCAATCAAAGATCTTGATGAGAGAACATGTAGGAGTTCTGGGTCGAAGTCTAGGGGTAGAGGACGGAAGAATAATCCATCACCCCCTCCGGACAGTGACTTGGAGGTATGCCTGTGGTAATTGATGAATACTGATGCAGAGGTTTCTTCTGTGAAAAGTAAATTCTGAAAACTACATCTGTGGAAATAGCTTCAAGCATTTTAGAAACCATCATGGACTCAGTCTCACTAACTGAATGCAACAGAGATTAGTAGCTGCTTTAACATACGTGTACAATGAGACTTTACTATTCTGTGTCACAAAGTTAGGCAGAAAGGTAAATGTGTTTCAGCCTAGTTCTTTTTAGCTCTCAGATTGCATGTCTTGGAGTTTCTCATGCAAGAGAAGCACAAATTTGTACTCAAAATTGTCACATTTTCTTTTAGTTTTTTGAATAGGAAATCTCAAATATATCATTCAACTTAACTGCAAGTATTTATGGATGCAGTGTAAATATGCAGGATCATCTGGTTGTAACCTTTTAAGTACTTAGGCACCAGTTACCTTTTAAGTACTTAGGCACCAGTTTGTCCTTGTGCTTGTAAGTAATGTCAGCGGATTTCAGTGAGGCAGCTTCTATCAGTGAAGTTATGGCTGTACTTCAGTACAGTGCAAGATCAGTGCTCAGCAAAGAAATGTATCTGCCTAATATACAGGCAGATGATTTCAAGCACAGGGGATGTCTTAGCAACAGAGTACTTATAGTCCTATTACTCCTGTGTTAGCAGTGCACTGCCTTACGGTGACAGGAGGAAGTGAAGTGCCTGCGTGTGTGTGTGGTACTCCAGCTCTGGCATCAGGGATGTGCTGCCTGCTAGTGCAGTGAGTCCCCTGCTGTCACCAGGCAGTGCTGGGAGCCAACAGCCTTGGCCAGTCCCACTGCTCTGCCCTCACTGACCAGCTCTGGGTACAGAAGAAAACGAAATTGTTACTGGGACTTGGCTGGCTAAACAGCCCCTCCTGGGGTAGGAGGGTGGGCTGCAGGGCTAGGCACTGAATGTAAATGCCATTGCTTGTGTACAGAAACTTATATATTTTTCGCTTTTTAAAGGATTTAACTTTTCCAGTGAAGAGACTAACTTCTTACATTTCAGGGGGTTTTTTTTGTTGTTTTGTTTGTTTTGTTGTTGTTTTATTTGTTGGGGGGGTTGTTTGTATTTTTATTTGTTGTTTTTTATTTACCAGTGAAAATGAAAAATAGTGAAATTGAATTGATGGAGTTAAAATGATCTGTTATATTCCATAATATTATTTAAATTCTGCATTATATGTGGCATATAGCACTTTTACCCAAGATTTAATTTTAGTTCTGCAGTAGAAATAAAGAAGAATCTTGAATCAGTAAGACTCACAGAGAAGTATCTGAAAGTACTGTTTATCCTTAACAACTATGTTTGACCCCACATCGTATTTCTGAAATCTATGTTATAGAGCTTTCATGAAAAGCTTTTTTGAGGACAAATAAGAAATGGTTGAAGAGAAAAAAGTTACTCTCCTTTTAAGTTTTTAGCATGTATGATACACTGTTATTGCTGATTTTCAGAGAAACACTGCTCAGTTAAGTGCTTGATGAAACTCTAGGACTCCATTGACTTTTAGTCTCCCTGGGTGGGATGGTGGTGGAACTTGGATGTTATTTGTTTAATAATATTTTCCCCAATTCTGTTTTCAGCGTGTATTTGTTTGGGATTTGGATGAAACAATCATAGTTTTTCATTCGCTGCTTACAGGATCCTATGCACAAAAGTATGGCAAGGTATGTGAGCTATGAATTCTGTGTCAGTTCACTTTATCAGAGCTATCTGGCTTGCAGATATATATATATGTATGTTTTTCACCTTCCACGTTCATTATGGCTTGGTCTGAAGTTGGAGGGAAAGTGTATACAAAACCCCATTTTCAGAGGGTTGATGTGAAGAAGTCAAGGACAGAAACAAGACACAGACCCTAAGCACAATATATGAGGCAGGGCTGAAGCAGATGCTCTAAATGAGGGAAGAGCTTATAGAGGAACAAGGGTGAGGTTTCTGATGTCAGAAGAGACATTGCAGGGAGATAATAGATGAAGTGCACCAATGGAAATAACTGACAGTATATGGAAACATAGAGGAAGAAATAAGAAACCGGAGTGGTGGATGAATTTACAGGAAGTTGATGAATCAGGATGAGTAAGTAAGAGTCTGATCTATTTCAGTGCCAGCTGCAGATGTTATTCTTTGACTCCCCACCTTTTCTGTGAAATCTTTGTTCCCTTGGCTGACTCTGGGGTGAGTAATGCTGGGGAGTGAAACTGTTTCTTAAGTAGTTTTAAGCATCCTCTCCCCTCTGATGAGTCCAAAAGGAGTTCAAGTCACAGAGCAGTGAGCCTGAGAGTAGGAACAAGAGTGAGGGAGGCAAAGAGAGGCAGTGGCAGCCTGCAAGAGCAGGAGCTCCCCTGCGGAGTCAGCAGTGAGCCCCACTATACTGGTGATGGGAGCCCAGGGAATGCCTGCTCTGGCAAGGGAGAAGGGACTGGTGCATAGAAACAGAAGCAGACTGGTAGGAGGAACAGAGCTAAAGGCCTGAATAAAACAAAAAAAAAAATTAAAGCAAATATGTGGAAGGAAGAAAATGGACTGGGGGAATGTTGGTATGTACACACATCGTTTTCTCTGTGTTGTGCCATTCCAGTGACATGAATGCAAAAGTATTACCTTTTAAGAGCGTACCATAGAACATAACATAACCATGTTCATACTCTGTCAGATAAAGGGCTTGTTGAGCATCTTTTCAGCCTCTTTATTCTGGACAGAATCACATGCTTGAGAAAAGCATGTGAGAAATAGTGTATTACAGAAATGCTTTTCACACCTACCTCTCCAGCCAGTGGGTTAGAAATGTCTAAAGCCAAAACCTGTGGATTATAACCATGAATGGGTCAGTCTTCCATGTGAGCAGCCTTTTTTTGTTATTAAAAGTTAATAGGAAAAATCACAGGCCAAGTGAAAAATCTGAATTTCTGGAATTCTAAGATAAAGATAGTTATTCATGTCTTTAAAAAAAAATCAGCCTTGCTTGCTTTGCAGCTTCACAGTGACAAATCTGTACACATTTCAGTATTCTGTCAAGAAACCCTCTTCTGCTGTTTGTCAGACATTGTAACAACAGTGACTTTGTCAGAATAATTTCTGACTAACAGTTATCAAAACAAGAGACAAACTTAGCTGAACATGAACATTTCTATCACTTTCAGAGTAGCCCATAGTCTGTCGTAGGACTTTCTGAATTGCTCCAGTGATGCAGTCATTCCTTTCCTTCTTTTTTGACTGTGCCCTTCAGATTTTTCCTAAATCAACTTTAATGCAGATTTTTAGAAATCAGAGCACATTTTATGGCTCACAAAACATCTGTGGATAAATTTGAAAACTGTCTTGGAAACTGCAATAGAAGAGATTCCTCTTGATTTCCCACTTGGCTAGGAGTAAGGATATTTGAAAACATCCCAGTAGCATTGTTCTTAAGAACACATGTGCTGCTAAAATTGACTCCATATAGAGACTTTAGAACAGTAATGGCATATTAACAGCCAGTAGTACTAACAGTAGGTAAAGTCGGCTTATATAAACCAAGAGTATCTCAAGGGTAACTGAGATCAACATCAGTAAACAAATGTTATGGACAACTGTGAAGCAAAAGGCAGGGAATTCCTAAGTAAAATATTTTTTTCTTTTCTTTTCTTTTTTTTTTCTTTTTTGTTACTGATAGATAGCATCTGCACAACTAAGGAAAGGTGTTCATTTCCAGACACTGTAGAATAAAAATAGTCGACTTTTTCTTTCCTGCAGTGACTGCTTTTACCATATTTACATGCAACTTGTTTGGAATGTAATGAGTAATTACCATTGAAACTCAAATGTGTATATTGTTAACTGCAAGGAGGCTAGAGAAGTAGAAAAGGGAATGCAGGGAGAGCTTATCACGGATGGGCTTTAGCTTTTGCATGTCACTGAAGTGCAGCCTAAACTTAAGGTGGGATGTGTTTGAGCCTAATTGCCTAAGAGGTTAGAAATGGGAGAAGAGAAAGATACCACAGAGGGACTTCAGTCAGTCTCTGATGCATGACATTGTTAACAAATGTAGTCCTTATCTTTTGTGCATATGATTTCCATCTTTATACAAGACCTTAATACAGGCTGAATATTGGATTATTGTAAGAATTGGGTTGCTATGAAAGTAAATAGTCCAGGAACTGTGAGGTTGTCAGCAGAAGTCTTATGAGCACACAGGTCTTTCAAAAGTCTTGAGAGAGCTCTTTATGTTGAAAAGGTGGTATAAAATCATTACTTACTTAACAATGAAAAAAGAAATAGTGGCTATACTAAATTATTTAATTGGCATGATTTGTTATCTCATTTTTAAAAAATAAAATCATCTAATGTCACACATATTCCTAGATGTGCATACTGTGTTCTTCGACATGTAATTTATGAGCACATTTTGTATAACATAATTGGGTTACTCCCAAAAAAAGAAAACCCACCAAAAAAACCCTCACAGGAAAAGCAGAATTTTCCCATTCTCCCATATTTAAATTTTCTACATGAGAATAGCATGTCTTTAACGTGAACATTGCTTTAAGGGAAGGCATCTCATTATACCATTTATAACAAGTGTGCTCACTTCATCCTTGCAAGGAGTGAGTGAGATGGGATGCAAAGAGTGAGTTTAAAGCTAGTGTGAATATACAGACAGGCAAGACAGTTCTTTCCCATCTATTCCTTGACATGCAAACTTTCATTCCTCGTTATCACCAGCTCTTTTGCCAGTTTCTTTCAGTAACCAGGTGAAAAGAAAAATTTAGAAATTAGTCTTTTAATCTCTCTGCTCTGCTTCAATTCAGCCTGCGCAGTGAGGTGAGGTGCAGCACATTATGGCCTGGCAAAGGGATCTGTGTATGAGTGCAGGAGCACTTGAGAGCTGCAGCTGTACCTGGAGATAAACACTTTCTCTTTAAAAATATTTCTGTAGTTTAACAAGTGCTTGGAGTAGGAAAGGAAAAGAAAAGGCAAACCAACATCCCCATGGGCAATGGGGACTTTCTTTGGCAGAGAATATTTGGGAAGGCCTGGATCCAGTAGGCAAGTTTCAGATTGTATATTTGTCAAGAGAACAACAGATTTCTGACTTATGCCTGAGGGTTTATGAAGTTGAGAATGGACACTCTCCTTGGTATATAGTTGTTCAGCACTTTGCATGGTGTGATAGTTATTTGACTTCAGAATTTTCTGGAGCTGTTATAATAACCATGTTAAAAGCAAAATTAATTATTTGCTCAAAGATTTAAGTTGTTGGATGCAGCTTTAAGCATCTCACTTAAAAGACAGGGCAAACTGCTGCTGCTTCTCTGGGCACCAGAAGGGTATAGCTTTAAACCCAACTGAACTGGGAGAGACTTGGCCAGAGGTTGGCCGGTGTGTGTCTTTTAATTGTAAATACCAGAGGATATTCCATGCCTTGATGTTTTCTACCCGTGGATGTTTCTCTGTGACTTTTGGTGTATCAGTTATTTTATTGGGCTGGTCAAAGCTAACATAAAAAGGGAATAAAAACTACACTACATCTGTGTTAGGTTTCAGGGAAACCATGCTGCCTCACAGCAGTAAGAGTACCTCTTGCTGTTCAGCTCATTTGCTCATCTGCTTTGTTCTTCATAAAACTAGTATGTTTCTATTTTAAATTGCTTACTGCAGTAGCAAATTGCAAACATTGGCATTGGAACTGTGACTTGTGTAGACAAAGATGGTTTTTGCAGCTGAACACCAGTTGGCAGATATCTTTTTCTACAGTGCTGAGCTCCTAAGTGAGCATTGGTTGATGTGACAGGACATGTGTTAGGAGATATCATCTCTTTAAAGTTTATGAGGTACATTCTTATTCCCTGTGAACAGTGGGTATTCTTTGTTCTATTGCATTCCAGTTATTCTTGCTGGTTGAAGGCTGATTAAGATGGAGTTTTGTCTACATCCCAGCATTTATGTTTCATTCATTACTCCCAGGTTGACCCAGATGGTAAGGATGCCAAAATAAATGCTGTGAGTCAAGGTGCAACTAGTTAAAAAACGAAAAAGATTCCTTTTTGAGCTTAGAAGGGAGAGAATGTGATTTCCAAGTGCAAAAATCCACGCTTGATGGTCATATTTTGCCATTTTTGATAACATTGCAAATTACAGAAAGCTGTCAGGGAGGCCTTGTATTCTTCTCTGAAATGGCTCAGAAACTTTTTACTGCTCACTCTGTTTGTCCAGTCATTAAACAGAAAAACTTTGTTGCCATTAACACCCATGCTGACGTTCCCAAATTCACTCATAAATATTCTCTTGTCCACCTGTATTAATAGTATATCTCTCATCGCCTCCAGTTGTCCTCTCCATTCACTCCCTCCTTGTCTGAGACCTCTGAGTTGATTTTCCTACCGCCTTCTAGAGAGCATGGAACAGAAACTCCCTATGGAGTACGTGAGTTTTCCTTCATCAGCCGCCACATATGGTTATTAAGAAGAGATGTATTCTCTTCCTCCGTTATCACCCATATGAATCTCTCCTGGGACAAGTGTCGCCTGTGGGAGAGTTAGAGCTGAAGTTAAATCTGAGATTCCTACATAATATGGGGAAGTGTCCCTAAGCTAAAAATATTGATATTTAAATTAAGCATTTCCACTTTTCCCAGAGGTCAGTTTTATTCTGAGTCTGTTCAGGACAGCCACCCATTGAAAACCACCTCCCACAATACTGTTCATATATTTTGCTTGTTTTCATGCTTATTTTTAAGGCTTTATGCATCCAAATTGCTGTCACAAGAAATCTACCTGACAGTAATCTATTTGTTTTCTGAGGTGTTCTAAAAGTCAGTTTGGTGTTTGTATTTTTTTTCCAAGAAATTAAATGATTTTGAACATCTTTTGCTGAAACCTGACTTCCAAAACAGTATTGAATAGATTTCTTCCACTAATGGACACTGAGCTTTTGGGGCTTTATTCCAGTCACTTTCCTCTTGGTCTAAACACTTACCCATTTACATATTGGTTCTCCCAGGATATTTTTATCTAGTCTCCCAGGAGGCATTCCAGTGGATACACCAGTCTAGTACAGAAGTCCACAGACAGACAGTCTGGCTCCAGTTTAGTGCCTTCATCTGAACGTAACTAAAGTAATTTGTATTTTGGTATACAGAACTCCTGTAGCTGGTCTTGATTTTGCTGCACGCTAATGATATCTGGCTAACATCATGCCTCTGAGGGCCAAAGAGTTGTTCTTTATTCTCCAAATTATCTGGGGAAAACTTCCAGATTTGTTTGGGGTTTTTTTAAAATCATTGTTTCCTCTTTTGTGTGTGCTTGTGCAGAGTAGCTGAAAATACCATTTTGGCAAAAATTCAGTCTGCCTTTTATTAAGTTTTCCAATTTGCTGTGCTAAAATCTGTATCAGCTGCAAGTTTCTTGCTTTCTTTTCAACACTCAGTCCTTTGTGCCACTTGATTCAATCTGTAACTTGTTTCAAGTGGAAAGACTGTAAAATGATGATTGTGATCTTCCTCCACATTGTGCAAACACTGTAAAACCACAAGACCCTGACAAATCTTCTTTGTTTTGGTCTCTTTTATATGTGAAGAAAATAACATAACAAGAGCTGGAACATGATGTGTAATTCCTGTTAAACAGTTGCAGTACAAGTGTTGGTCAATTTATTAAGGGAAGAATTGTTCATGCCTTGAGAATTCAATTCCGGTGACTCTCCTTTAGCGTTGTTATGGGGAGATCCCATATTGATTTTGTGCTAAGCTAAAATGAATTCTCTTTGCTTCATTTTATTTTTTACGTAGTACCGAACAATATCCTTCTCATGCCTTCGTTGAAATAGGAATGCAGGAAATATAATATTAATAGTAATAAAGTCAGGCATAGTTGGTTACAAAGCTACTATTAATAAGAAAATAATAAAAGCTTTGTCACATTTATATCTTTCAACTATACTAGGCAAGGCAGGAAATTGTCATACATAGATGGTAGTTTCTGTTAAAACAAATTGCATTATAATGGAATACATTATAGCAAATTTCCACATTCGAGTCTGCTTCTACTCAGAAAGGGGTAAAAAAAGGATGAGAATCAAAAGTGAAATTCCAGCTTTGGAAGCACTTCAGTAAGTAACTTACATAAATAATAAAGAGTTACCACCTGTTCATAAAATGCACATACCTTAGTGTTTGTAGGATTGAGGCAAAGAAGCATATTGCAAATACTCTATACTGTATTTTATCTAGGACGAAAAATCTATAATTAAATGTGCACAGAAAAATAAAAATGCAAAAGAAAGAAGAGAGTCACATGCTTATATGTGATGACATTTTGGTAAAAGCATCATGGCTTGAGGGGGAATCTCATGAGTCCAGGGTATTTTGATTATTTGTGTTCAGAGTACCTAACGTGAGTTTTACAAATCTGTTAATGTGTGTTCCTTGATCATCCTCTTGGAAAACTAATCTTTGCACTTGCTGTTGCCTTTAGACATGTGACTTTCAAATCCAGTAAATATGATTGCAGAACACAGAGGGGATGAAGTTCTGTTACTGGGCACTGCATTTGGTTTTTACTTCTGAAAGGTAGTCTAGACCAGTTCAAGGGTCAACATAAAAATATTTCCTTTCACTGAAAGAATTAGGTCTAACTTTGGATTATTACAATTTCTTGAACAATATTCTCCCCTTCAAGTATGACTTTTTCATGAGCAAGAGTCAAAATATGTCTGTGTTTCAGATTTTACCATTAGTTATTAAGTGATTGAGTGCAGAAGCCATCTTTTATTCTGTCACTGTGAAGCCCTGGAATAGTGGGTGTCTGATCTTGGTTGGGAAGCCTTTGATCCAAATACGAACAAATGATCGTTTGAGGTTTTGTGTGATCTTGTTGCTACATGCTGGTAAACTTTTAGACTTTAAATCTCAAGGTATTTAAGAAGGGGGTTCTGAAAATTTGATAGTGTCACTCGGAGTTTAAATTGTGGAATATAGGGGTTTTTTTTAATATTCTCATGAGAAGAGGATCACATGTGTTTTAAAAGTCCATTGCAGTATATTAACCACTAAAAAGTTACCTTAACCCCACAAGTTCAGGCAGATAATTAAGGCAGTAATCAAACGAATTACCAGGTGTCAGCAAAGCACCAGGAACTATTATTCTAAAACAAGTGTAAGGTAATGCAAATTTGCTTTACTATTTCCTAGCAAACCTAGAAAAGTTAAATTAATTACCTTACATTTGCTATGCACTTAATGCTCTCAGTGTTATTGCAGATTGGTAGATTTGTGATATCTTGCTGAGGTCGAGCAATTTGATAGTGTGAAAGTCAACCTACGAACAAACGGGACATTTTGAATGAATCGCATCCAGGGACAAGAATCCAGTATTTCTACAGAAATGAAGGGGTGATCTGTAGCAAACAAACTTACAAACTGACAACATTTCCCATTCCTGTGGACCAGCTAAAGAATCATTCCATAGACTGTAGGCACTTTGTTGAATGAATAGCTGCAATAAAATCATAAAGGAGAGACCAGAAATTCATCAGTGAGTGCCTGAAGAAGGGGAAGTACAGAGACAGAGAAGGATCAACTGTGAAGTTTGAAGCTAAATACTGGAGAAGAAGAAAGTGGGGGAAAAAAGCAATGTAGACCAAAGCATAGCCAAGGCAGTGATGATTTATCCAAAGTGAAACTGAATTTGGGGAAATGGACCTAGGTTCAGAGTACCCTTTGTATTTTTATAAAGTAGAGACATTAGAAATGGAAAAGGCCACTTAAGTCACACCTTCCTATCACAGTATTATAATTGCCTACAAAGTAATCATCTGCTAGAGATGACTACATTTCCTAATCCATCTTGGCATGACCTTGGTGAGGACTTCTGTGTGCCCCAAATTTGGAAAGAAAAGCCAAGAGATCAGAGGAAGTGTGCAGTGGATTGGGTGTCACACAAAGTAATTTGTTCCTCCCTCCGCTGCTGATTCAGTTCACTGAGTCAAAAAAATTGGTTACTGCTCCATGACTCTGCTTTTTTCTGCCCACAAACTGACAGGCAAGATACTTACATATCTTTATAAAAGGCTCAGGGATTAAAAATGTAGTGTATTTGTATAATAATAATCAATATTGGTTTTCCTACATACGTCTTTTGTGAAAAGTTCCTTCCCTGTTTCCTGCCTTCTTTATGCTTGTTTATGTGTATGTTTATGGCCACCAGGTTGCAAATTCCTCAACTTTCAAAAATTTGATTTTTCAACATTCACAGCTCCCCAGATTTTCTCCCACAGGTTTAGCAGTCTCTTCTTACAGCATCATATTAAAGTAGTTTAATACTGAAAGGATTTCAGAGAAATTTCTTACTATGTTAATTTTTCAAAACAAATTTTTGAATACAGCAATTTTAAAGTAGTTGTGACATAACTTACAAGTGTGTAAGTAGTTAACCTTGCTTTCTGTTTTTTAAGGATCCACCAATGGCAGTGACGCTTGGACTGAGAATGGAAGAAATGATTTTTAATCTTGCTGACACACATTTATTTTTTAATGATTTAGAGGTAAGAATCAAAGAAATGTAAACACAGTTGCTCCTGTTTTGTTAACATGGTGGATCTGCTGTGCATTAGTGTTTATTGTGTGGGACATTTTCTGCCTTTGTAGTCTTTAGGTTTGTCCTACTCTAATCAGAGAGAGGTTAGCCAGGTGGCACTGACTTCCTGTGGCACCAGAGTCCTTCCACGAAACTCAATGAGAGAGAGAATCTGCAAACTACCCATTTCTTTCTATGTCCTGCAGCCATCTTTTCAGTTTACATGGATGTAGAGCTGTCCGCTGTCATCTCCAGGAGGGGAACATATGTGCCTCACATTCTTCTCTTGAAATTCTTTATATTCACTTTCAGTGGGTGCCATCATATGATCACAAGAGACTGTGTTCTTCTCTTGACATACCTGAGTAGCCCTTTAGCCATAGGCCTCCATTTCTTTTTCAAATGGAGAATATTCTTCATTTACCTCACAGACTGCAGTATCAGAGAGCTGAGACTATAATGTATTCATCAGTGATGTTTCTTCCCAAGGTAACCAGGCAACCACATGTATTGTCATGGTATATACCCAGGGTGTGAAATTTGGCATCTGGTCAGAAATGACCTCTCCCTAGGGAGTGCCTGCTGTGGAAAGATTACCTCTCAGAAGCAGGATGGATGGACTACTGCAGGGACAGTGGTCTGGGAAGCACACTTATCAGCTGGGCTTCACAGGTTTTTTGCTTCACTCTGGGAGTCTGTTAGCATGGAAAATGAAAGTCTTATAACCATGTGCGTCAAGAGATGGGGTGAAAAACAGTTTTTAAATTAAACCATGGGCTTTTCAGACTTTCCCCAGTCTGAAACAGTTGTTTTCTTATTCAGTGTGGATCCCAGATTTCCCTTCATGGACAGATATTTTCCACTAGTGGCAGCTGGAAGACTTGGAGGTTTTGTTCACAATCACAGAGGAAGGTCTCTGGTGAGAAAATAGAAGAAATAAGGACAAGTGAGATTTTTCCATCCCCTGGGATGTTGATTTTTCTAGTGTGTCTTTTGTCCCTTTAACAACTGTAGGCAGTAAGAAAAGCAGAAGGTACCAGTGTGTCATTGTCTTTGCTCCCTTTTGCAGACCTCATTTATTCTTAGATCTTTTTAAGTCAAGAAACTAGACTCTACTTCACCCCAAACCTGAGCTGCACTTCCTCCTTCCAGCAGCAGGAACTAAGAAATAAAGCCCTGGACATGCCTTTCCCAGTGTTTTATTGCAGTCCTAGTGAGTCATCACTTGACAATGCAAGTGCATTTGGTGAATGTTCTCTTCTGGTGCTCTGTACCAGGTAGAGATGCCAAATAAATTTTCCAAAGCATTTCTTCAATTTCTCTTTAGCAGACCTTTACCCCTGTGCATTCAGATTTCGTTCGCCATGAATGATTTTAAGCAATTTGGTAGAATATGCCCAGAGTTCTTCAGTCTTGTGCTGAGTTCGAGTGGAGGAGTTCAGAAAAAATGGAACTTTCCCCTCCTTCCATCCCTCTTTACTCTTGCTTATGGCCATTGAAAATTCCTACCTTTCTCTCATTTTTTATTTTCTTTACAAATCACAGGTTCAGCTCTCACAGATGGATCATCACATTTTGGATAGTCTTCATCAGGAGGTTTTAATATCCTGTCCAAAGACTCATACACCAGCTCATTCCAGAGCTTGAACAGTATCCAAATAGTTTCCAGTTTTAGATAAATCAAAAAATACTACTTGGGGACTATCTTGGAGAGTCTCGTAACTCAATGAGTTTGATTTGATTAAAAACAGTTTCTACATGCAATTAATAATCACACTTGCTATGAGAAATAAAGCATTTTATATCCCAGAATTAATCTTTGTTTCAAACCCAACTCTCTTATAAAATTACCAAAATATACCTCTCATAAATTCCAAAGTTCATGTGCTGAGATGAGTTGTATGCATCTCATACATTCTGGCATGTATGCAAAAGTGAGAAGACCAGCAATTTTCTACCTTCTTAGCAAATAAGATAATGTGGTGACGTATGGAGAGGCATCCTTTAATAAGCTGATGAATAAATCTGTCTTCTTAAATATGTTTGCAGAGCACATGGCCATTACTGAATATTATAGGTCATCTGCATGATGAATGTATAAGGAATTCTGAGAATTCCCCAGTTCTGACTTGGGGTCTCTCTCTCATCTCTCCTCCTCTCTCCATCTGTCTTTATCTTCCTCTCTCCATCCTCGCAAGGAGAGCAGAGCTGAGTGCTGAGCTGCTGATCAAGCATGGCCATCAAGACACAAGACCTTCAGTTCTTACTGGACAAAGTGAGATAGGCCTTTATTCACTAGGCTGATTACTTAGCCTTTCATCATCTCACTCTTTTAGTGGTGAACCTTCAAGTCCCCTACCTTCTGTCTTGCTTTCGTCCTCGTCCCACAGTAAACCTCGAGGCACTGGACATGACAACTCTAATGCACTACTGAACCTCTATTCCTGTAATATTGACTTCAGTCATAATGTCCTCTAAGCTCTCTTTTTTTCCCCTGTCTTTCTTGGTTACATACCAGGGTCTAGTAATAATAACCAGGTTATTGAAGTTACCACAAAAATAAAGTTTTCCTTCCTTTATGCAAATCTTGTCACTACAATGACTGCTGATGCAGAAATTCCAATCTGCTGAGACATTCCTTGCTGACCCAGTAACCCATGTTCTAATCAGCCAAGCTGCACTTTTATTTCAGGCTAGGCTGTTCTCCAGCTATTGCTTTCTCAGTGTATAAATTTTAGTTGGCTTGAGAAGTATCGCTTGGGAGGGCAGTTGGTGCTTTGCCATGAAAACAGGAGTCTGGTGCTCTAAAAGGTTCATGTACCTAAACAACACTTAGAGATGGGACTCAGCTTTGTAATAATATCCAACTAAGGAATTCTTTTGTCAACAGGTAAAGAATAAAATTAAATTTTTCTCCCTATTTCAGTATTAGTTTTAAGACATCTTTTAGAAATGTTGGTAAGGCATTTTGTGCATACAGAAATTCCCAATTTCTACAAATTGCAAGTAGGGGCTCAGATGTGAGTCTTCCAATTCTGTTATCCCCCTCCACTATCAGGACAATGAAAAAAAAGAGTATTTGTTTCCAACAAACTGAATTATATTTCCATTTTTATGATAATCCTACCATATTTTAAAGGAGATTTTGTTCTTTTTTTTTTTTTCTTCATTAGAAATAGAAATGAGAAATAAAAAATAGGATTTAGATAAGTCTCAGAATTTGGGAGGTAGGTCAAATTAGTTTTAACAGAGACTGAAGCATATACATTAAAAGGAGTTTTCTGTATAGCCTAAGAAAGCATAGTGCTAAATATCCTCTCATTAATAACGTTTCATTAATAACAGTTTTGCATTCAGTGTGGTAAGTCAGTGTTTTTACTGGATAATGAAATTACTGTCCATTTGAGAAGGATAGTTTTTATTGATGGTTTGTTGATTCTGTATTCGCAAATTTTCGGACTCTAAAAATTACTGGAAAGAATTGACTGCACTTGGACAATTTAAATTAGTATTGCTTCAAGCAAAAGCTAAATATTGTACCTAGATTCCTTTCCTGTAGTCAGTGTAATAGGAAATATATTTTTATGTTTCTTAAGTTTTGACCTTGCACTGACAATGAGCCATTGTGACTTGAGTTTAACCAGTACTGCAGCTGATGTGAAAAGTATCAGTTACAGTGTCAGAGAGCTTGCTTTCTTTCCTTCCTCCCCATAACTCTTTGGTGTTGTTTAAAAGCAGACTCAGATGTTGTGTTGTGCCACCAGCTTCCTGTTTCTTTTGAGAAAAAGTAGAGAAATATCTCAAATCTGCTCAAACCATCTGCTTTTTCTTTTTTTTTTATGGTTAGTTTTTTTGATAGCATATAAGTGAACTTGTTAAAGGTAAACAGTTGAAGTAGTAAGTAAACAGGAAAACAAAGTAAACAAAAGCAAGGAGTTGTGGGCACATGAGTTATTTGTTGGTCAGCAAGTGTGTACTGCCAGTATGCTGAGAGGAGAAGATGAAGGGGGAAAAGGAGTAAGCTAGAGAGTGCTGTTGGGATTGGTCTCCTCTATATTTAACAACCTTCTTCAAGGGACAAGGGACAAGTAATCAGAAAACTCCCATTCCTGGAACAAACTGTGAGACAAAAAAAAAAAAAAAAAGGTAAACAGCTGAACCTTTGGCACCCACTCATATTTAATTTAATAATGAAATTATCAGCAGAACAGTTATCTGAAATTTTCAAGGCTGGAACAATGTAGCTGAAAGGATTGACAGAATCCAAACAGACTTATCCATCAAGGCTTTGGTGTACCTTCCATTTAATTAGTACACCTTCAAATCCATAGAAATTATTTTTAAATTTTTAAACTTTCACCAGTTCCAGGGAAACCTGTGAGGGTAATTAGAAAGCCAGATATTGCAAACTAAAGAGTGGGCCTTTTTGTCTTCATTTTTGAGTTCCTGTGCTACACTAGGTGAAGCATAGTTGCTTTTTTTTTTTTATTTTCTGGAGTGTAAATAATAAATAAGGATAAAGAAATGAATCTTTTATTTCAGCTGCCACTTCCCCTTTACTTTCTCTTTTCATCTACTATTTACATCCCAAAGCATCTTCTTTAAAATATTCTACAGCTCAAGATAATCTCCTCAAGAAGAACCAAAAAAATTTTATTTCTTCAGTGGGGAAAAGAGTGCTTCACTTCTGTTCCTTGAACGCATCTCTGTCATACCTGTCTTAATGGATTCAGCCAGATGAGCAGAGTTTAGCAACTCATTTTTTTAGTTTTGACCCAGTATTTTAAATTATGATTGCTTGTATGATGAAATGAAATTACATATTTGAAAATAAAATCATATATATTTATTTTATTTTAAAATTACTAATATTTTTTTAACAACTTACTTCACGTGGGTAAATGTCTGTTAAGTTTTTGTCCATTGCAAAGCAGACAAAACATGTGAAATGTTAATTCCCCAAACCCACACTCTAGGAACTTGTGGTATACACATTTGGAAATAACTCCTCTGCTCAGATTTATCCTTTATCTGTTCAACTCTTATGAGACAGAGATTTGGAAACTTAGAACTGTGTACTCTTGCATGTCACAGAGAGCCTGAATTAAGTGCTGCTTGTCATCAACTTTATATGACACAGATGACTCACACAACTCTTTCTTTGAGTCACAGAGCTGTGCATTTTGAAAGCTCAACCTCATTTTGTCTAAGTAAGGAGAGTAAATATTGGAAAGTATTATTTGGGGAGTAATTTTTAAATACATCCTTGAACTTTTCTGTAAAACATCTTAGGACTATGTTAATAATAACTGGTTTAAATATTAAAAAACTACTTACATACAGCAAAGTAAAATCTCTGCATACTGAATTTCAGGTGTGTCTCTGGGTTAAGATGTTAGTTCAAACAACTGCTGAAAACAGTAATATGATCGTAGTGGCTTAACTTATTTATTTATGCTTCCCCCACATTTTCTTATCTTTCTGCTGTAACCACTATTCAGATAAGGATATTTGATAGATGTCCAATTATAAAACCATCTTGAAGGGGATTTCAATTTTCTAGTGTACCTCAGTTCCCTCAAGTTTCTTCTGTCCCTTCCAAAACCAGGAAATAATGAAATTCTCCAGGATTGATGATTATCTGAGATTTTCCTGCCAAAGGCACTTGCATAAATTAATAAAAGAACCTGATATGTGTCCAAACTACTTACCATAAGTCATATGTCTGTTAAGGTTCATCATCATTAGCTTTTTGGGAGTGGGAAAAGATTATTTAGGTGATTTTTAAGTATTGGTATGCTAGGGAGACTACAAATGAGACTTGCAATTGTTGAGGTTTTACAATTAAAATAATCTAAAATTACACAAAATTGCATATTGCTTTTCTAAAGGCCCGTTTTAACTAGTAATTTACATGTGTAGGAGTTGAAGTTTTTATTATTTTAAAAACAATGATGGTGATAGGAAGCTGTGGGTGTACCCACTCTGCCATCTTCTGGTGCAATTAGTGCCCTGCACCAGCCCTTCAACATCTGTACTAAGCCTGTGGTGAGCATAGAATCATTAAGGTTGAAAAAGACTTCTAATATTAGGTAGTCCAACCATCCCACCATTAACCCAGCCCACCGTGTTCACCACTACACCATATCCTCAAGTGCCACATCCACATGCCTTTTGAACACTTCCAGGAATTATGATTATACTCTTTTATAAGATAATTTATCATTCGGATTTGTTTGGGTTTTTTTCAATAGGAGTGTGATCAAGTTCATATAGATGATGTTTCTTCAGATGATAATGGACAAGACCTAAGGTAAGATACAGCATTTTTTTATTTTTTATTTTTAATTTCAAAGATTAAATAATTTGAGCATTTACAGGAATACATTGTATTTATTTTTACTGTATTTTGGGTGTTTGCAGTACCTACAGTTTTGCAACTGATGGCTTCCATGCAGCTGCAAGTAGTGCAAACCTTTGTCTGCCAACAGGTGTAAGAGGAGGGGTTGACTGGATGAGGAAGCTGGCTTTCCGTTACAGAAGAGTAAAAGAGTTGTATAATACTTACAAGAACAACATAGGAGGTGAGTTTAATTGTCAAACTTAGAGTGCTGATCAGTCTAAACTGCATGGTGATTAACTCCCACCAAGTGAATGTGCCTGGGAAGCCACTGAGGGAACGGAAAGTGATGTGACCGGACCATGGGCTGTTCAAAGTTGCTGACTGGAGCAGCAAGGCCAGTGTTGTGCTGTTGTGCAGGAGAAGGAGTTGGGAAAACCAAGTAGGCTTTCATTTAGTTCCAACAGAACCCATCTTCATGCTTTAGACCCACGTATTCTTACTGTACTGATTAGTTGAACCACTTATCCTATCTCAAATATGCTGCCTCTAGGAAAGATGTTGTATAGTTTCCACAGCTCAAAGTGGTTGTGGATGGACATTTCCATCCTACACTTTCATGATCTAGTTGCTAACAACACACAGTCTCCTAAACTCTACTGGGTACCTGCTAGTCTGTTTTCACCAGTAGATGCAAGAAAATGTTAGCACTGCCATGCCAAAAGCCCTTTTTGTTGACTCTCTGGCTTACACACTTGTCTTCTCAATAAGTCCAAATCTCATTTGGGCCAAGAGCTTTCCTGTTACTGTTTTAATTCATGGACTTGCTCATGTGCTCACCAGCAGGTGTGTAGGTAATTGAGCAGCAGAACCAAAAGAATCTGTTCTGGAGATTTGCAGAGACAGCCAGCCCTCTTCTGAGGAGGTGAATATGTCAACTGACCCACTCAAAAAGAGACTGTGAGAAGAGGGAATACTTAGAAATCTTCAGTAATTGCCATAGTCATGTATTTTCACTCTTAGTAGTTCAGAGTTTTTACATGCCACAGGATAAAGCAATAGGACCAAAGGGTGGTAGTAGAGGTCTGACTTTCACTTGCCCTCCCTTGCACTTTATTGGTGTTGTGAATAGTTTTTGTATATTAATAATTCTTAAACCAGTATTAACCAAAAGTTTACTGGGTTTCCTTATATCTCTTAATGCATCTAAGATTCTAAAGCTGCTGCATTTCATAAAACCTTTTACACGGGTAAGAGCTCAAGTCCAAGAGCACAACATAAGGAATTGCACTAAGAGGAACAATCATAGCAAAGGCAGATACGTGGTGCATTGTATTACCAGAAATCCTGCTTCTGAAATGTAATTTATCCTTAGTGGGCAAGTTTATTCATTCATCCTCTACTTCTTAGCCTTTTTAATAACCTACTTATCACATATTTATCTATGTATTTCAAGATAGCTGCTAGAAGGCAATAGAAAGGCTAGACTAAGCTATGTATTTTTAGATTGCTTCATTTCAGATTTTTGAAGACAGTCATAACCATTCCTTGGGAACATATGGTGTTAGAAGAGGGATACTAAAGGTCATGAAGCCTGCTTCCTTATTCTTTCAGGACAAAATCTAATTTTAAAATATCTTGGTTCCAAAGAATTCATATCTCAACATTCAATAGGCTGGGTATTTTTAAATATCTTACAATTTATACTCAAAAAGAGATTTTGAGGTGCCTTTTAAGGACTAACTGAGATACAAGAACATAAGATGTGCAGCTCTTCCAGGGCTATAAAACAAGATATCATTAATAACTACAATAGGATATGAAGAGGAAGCCATCAACAAACAAATGTATTTTCATATGTGTAACCTGAGGTTCAGCTATATACAGAGTCATAAGCAGAGCAGTTTTAAACATATCTAGATACTGCAAAGGCCAGTTTATTCTAAAGTATCTTCTTTTGTCACTGTCTCTGCCTGTGACCCCAGTGACATGGATCTTCTTGTCACTGCCTCTGATTATTTGAGAGTAAGATATATGTGAGGAGTTGGTTTAAAAAATATATATTTCTGAAAGGTATACTTTGAAATGCAGTAAAGCAGCCTGAATATATGAAAAAATCCAACTAATTATTAGTATCTAAAATATTCTCTGACATTGCTTAATGCAGTGAAGTACAAATAAAATCAAAGCTTTACTGATTGTTGAAGACAATAGATTTTCTCTTTGATATTTGTTCAAGTTCTAGTGGAATTTAAATTACATTTAAATTCTAGTGGAAATTAAATTACCATAAACCCCAATACATTCCAGATAATACAGAATTTAATTCTGTTTTTCTTTCTTTTTTACATAAAAGGACTCCTGGGTCCCGCTAAAAGAGATGCGTGGTTGCAATTAAGAGCAGAGATTGAAGCTTTGACAGACTCTTGGCTAACAAATGCACTTAAATCGTTATCAATTATCAGCACAAGGTATGTATCTGAGTCTACTGTAAAAAAAGGTTCTAGTTTTGGATATGTAATGGCTATTTTTTTACATTTTAGCTTACAGTAAATAAGTGCCTTTAAAGAACAGAACAGCTCTACTATGACTTTTGAACAGGACACGAGAAAAGTGGAAAATGGTTTCATTTTAGGTGACTCCATCATTTACTAAAGACAGTATGAAACGTCTTCTAAAATGTGTGTACATTGAAGTGTGTTGTAGAATTCTGAGCCAGTCTTTAATTTATTATCTTGTGGACAGCATTCTCTGAATTTCACGTATCTCTGCTCTGTCCTTCAATGTTTGTGCTTATTCACAGTGCTACCTAAACATTGTATAAATACCAGAACACAAGAACATTTTCCTTCCATCCTTCCAAGCAAATCAGTATTTACTAGCATATACCTTAAGTTTTCAGAAGAGCAAAAATCTCTTTTAACTGGGTTCCAAGTAATGAAGCATGAAATGTACTGTTCTGTGAAACAATGAAAGTATGAACACTGCTGCTGCCTAATCAGCCACGCAATACGTATCTTACCAGAAATCCTAAAAAATCCTGGGTTTAAACCATAAAAGAGAACAACATTAAGTCATCTTGCCTTCTGAACGTGTCTGGGAGAAGACTTAGCATCAAGTGGAAATATAAACTTGGAAAGACATGAAAACCTTATTTTCAATGTAACAACTTATGCCATATGTTTATCTCTTAATTGTTATTTAACAGTGTCCTAAGCACGTCAGGAGAAAAGTAAAAAAATTGTGATTGTGTAACCTGTGTTTAGCTCTGCATTCCTCTCTAAATTGTTAGTCTTTAAAAGACTTTTGGTAACAAAGGCCAGTTGAGCATGGGTAGAAGAGTCTGGAAAACTGTTACCAGTTACTCAGAATTGTTAAATAATAGTCTTTTCTCTTGTCTTCAAAGAACTGCACAACTATAAATTTTCTGAAGATACTTGTGAGTCAGCTAAACATTACTTACATTATTGACAGGAAATTGAGATACCTTAAGTCTGAAATAGTAGCCTAAGGTCTTGCTTGGAATTTGTGGAAATGTCAGAAGGAAAAATCACAACTATTTGCTCTCAACATCATGTTCACGCTGTGGTCACACTCATGTTCCAGCCTGCCAGTGCCTAAAGTAGCTTGGCTCTGAGTTTTCTGTTGCACAGCTGCTAGCACAACTTCTCCATTCAAGTTTCCATCCTTGCCATTTGATGCTAGCTTATTGACATGATTATCCTCCCTCTTGGAAATATTCCTACTCTTGAAACATGAAGGAAGTAATGTCATTATGGAGAAATGTGTATTGGCTGTTTATTTCCCTAAAAGAGGAACAAAAAATGTTTTTGCATTCACTTAATTCATTTATATTGCTGATAGCTACTGCCAGTTAATTACCAGCATGAAAATTATGCTTTCAAAGCATTGAAATGCCTCTTTTTGGAGGTAGTTGGTGGTCTTAATTGTCTGTGTTTTAGTGGACCCATCTTCAAGGACTGGTTTTCTATAACCACTGTGGAATACTTCCTACAAAAATCAGGTCCTGAGTATTTTTTAAAGGATTTTTCCTGAAGTTTAATGTGCAATTTTCTGTAAGGGATGGTGCTGAGCAGCACTACTGTGTGAGTGAAAGTAAATGTTGAGGAAACCTGGATATGCTCTTCACAGCTAGTTCATTTCATCAACATTTGTATACTGTTTCTAAACTATTTAAACTTAAACCATTTCTCTCATTTTAGGAGTAATTGTGTAAACGTGTTGGTAACAACGACCCAGCTTATCCCAGCACTTGCAAAAGTTCTACTATACAGTTTAGGAGGAGCTTTTCCTATTGAAAATATTTACAGTGCAACCAAAATAGGTAAGAAAATTATTCTTTCATCCATTCTTACTACACTGCATTACCAATATTTTTTTCTGCCAGAAATGGATGGATTACAGAACACTTCCTTGACACTTAGCAATTTTAGTTATAAGATTTAGATATTGCATATATTCAGATATCTTTATGTCGAAGAATTCCAAAGTCACCTTATTTTCAATGATGCCTGAAGGAATAAAGATACTGATTAAAAGCCTCAGAAATTCTTCAGTATGGTGGAGAAAACAAAAAATGTGCAGAAAGCCATGAAGAAAAGTGTTCTGTGAATTCAAACCTGAGCAGAACTTTTGTTAAAATAACCTCTGCTCTGACATTCAGCTCTATGTAAGTAAGGCCACAGCTCCACAAACTTTCTCCCGAGGCATAATACGTCAGAGATGGTGATGAAAACCATTACTAACAGAAGCTGCATTGGTGGATGCCAAGAGGGCACTTACCTATTCTGTTCATAACTGTGTGCCTTTTGTGTATTATGGTTTGGAAATGTATGGTTTCATTCACTAACCTATTAATTTTTGCAGAGTTGCTAATTCCTTTATTTTAGTAGCTTTCCTGTAACAATTAAGAAATTTAGTTTTACCTGAACAAGCTTAGTGTCATTTAGGGAATTCATTGCTTCTTACCCAATTTGACTCTAAATCCCAAGGTTGGGAACTTTTCAGAAGTAGTAGTAGCAATGTCTTACCACTGCAAAAAAATCCTTTGTAAGGCTTCACTATAACTCACTTGATAGCTTGAATAAATAGTGCCTTGTTTTTCAGGCAAAGAGAGCTGTTTTGAGCGTATAGTGTCCAGATTTGGCACTAACATAACTTATGTTGTGATTGGAGATGGCCGAGATGAGGAACATGCAGCTAATCAGGTAACTTCACTCTGAACTCTTATCTCATTTATCTTCCAGGAAAAGAAAGTTGCTTTGAACGAATAATGCAAAGGTTTGGCAGAAAAGTAGTATATGTTGTAATTGGGGATGGTGTAGAAGAAGAACAGGCAGCAAAAAAGGTAACCTGTCTTCTGAAATGTTGGTGTGATACATAGCTACTAATGCAAGCCTTTCTGTTTGCATTTCTGTCAGTGTTGCACAAAATGACAAATAATTTCAGTCCACAGGTGTAAGGCAGCAAGAGCATGATAAGATCAAAACTTAGAGTGAAATGAACCATTTGGATTCTAGCATTTGCTTCCCTTGGCTTTGGAAAGAGAAGAAAACCCCACAAAGTTATTTTTAAAATAAATGAAAAAATATTGCAGCAAAAATGTCTGACTAGCTTCAGGCAAATCAAAAGATAAGCAGAAGAGATAGAAAGGGCTATAACATGATGGTTGGGTGGTGTTTTTCTTTAAATATTGAAATCAGGGATGTTTCAAGAGAAGCATTACAGAGAACATGGAAAAACATGTAAAGGGCTGTGCAAATTTTTTGCTAACATAGATGAAGATCCATAATTTACTGCAGCAAATATGATAAACATATAATTTACTTCAAGAGAGACATATCTGCTAAAGGAAAAAGAACACAACACAGAGATTGTGTACCAAATCTGTGGTTCTCAAAAAAGAGCTGTTTCCTTAGAAATACTAAATTTTCTTATTATGATAATTCAAGTCCAATTTCAGCAGAAAAATTTTCAATGTTCAGAAATAGATAAAATTAGTAATTTGTGCCATAACCCCTAGTATAACCCCTGGAAGTGTGCAGAAACTGTAATTTTTGCCTGACAATGTCTGTACAGGACAAGTGATGTAAATATCCTTGAGCTAGGAGTAGCAAAGTAAAGTACCCTCACAGTTTTGTAGCTGGAATGGAAAGAAAATGAAAATAACAAAAATGCTCATTCCAAATGGTTCCTTAATATAGGTACAGTATTGGTGATGGGTCTTTTATAATTTGTGCTAAACAGTGGTGGTTTGATTGTGTGTTTTCTGGTTTGGCATGCTTTTTTCCTTAACGTTGACTATATTGCATGGATAGGTGCAGAATTCAGAGAGATGGATGAACTTGGCACATTACAAATAGATCTGAACTCAACATGGAAGTATTGTTTTTTTTAATACGCTGATGAATTGTTGAAGGAGAATAGTGCATATACTTGCACCTCTCAGATACTGATGCCTTCTCCAACACAAATTATTTTTTCTTAAATCAGAAGTGTGTTATTTTCTTATCCAAAGAAATTTCTTTTTCCCCTAGATGGAGAAAAAATGTAATTCAACGCTGTTTCAAAGTGTTGAGTGAGAAACCTTTTTTAATGGAAGTCTTATAGCCCTTTAAATGATCATTCAGTATTTTGCAGTCAAATAAGTGGAGCAGAAAGGCATTTCCTATTAATGCTCCTTTGCATGCTAACATTAAGCAAGTAGCCCTTAATAAATAACAGAAAGAAACTATTAAGAAAGACTGTCTAATTATTTTAACTTCAGCTCAGATCTATTTTGGTCTGATTTTTGTCAGTACTTTAATAGCAAAAATCAATCCAGAAACAGTGGTGTAAAATACGTAGTGGTAATCTAAGTAGCCTCGTCTGTCATATACTGCCCTGTTTCACAGTGTTCATCTTTCCTGACCTTTTCCCTCCTCTAACAAACACAGCACAACATGCCTTTCTGGAGGATATCCAGTCATTCGGACCTCTTGGCTCTCCATCAAGCACTGGAACTAGAGTATTTGTAACTGTGTTCTAAAGTTGGCGATCCTTTTTTTTATATATATATTTCAAGTACACTGAATTTTTATGTGTGATTCAATGCCTCTGGCTTTACACATATGAATTGTCTTAAGAAGGGAAGAAATATTTGGAATTAAAAATTCCAAATTGAAGAATTCAGATTGCTGAATGAAGTTAAAACATTAGTGCTACGTAAGGAAGCTCTATGGTCTTATATATGCAACGTTTTTAAATGAATTAAAACTGTGGAGGTTGCTGGTACACACCAAGTGAGCCCTGACAGGAGTGAACAAAGGACTCAAACTGGCAAAGCACCAAAACGCGTTTTCCAGCCAACAAGGTGGTGTTCAACAACATTCCTCAAAATGGGATATATTCTCAGCACTGAGGTTTGAACCAGACTTTAGCCTACCTAACCCAGAAAATCTGAATTGGAATGCACTCAGACTGTATAATGACAATCCTGTCTAGACCTGTAATTTGTGTAAATTATTGATGAAAATAATTTACTGTGACTTTATTAGCAGCTGATTTTGGAAGTGGATGCAATTTTCTTTCTTTTGGGGGGGCAGGGGTGGGAAAGGGTTATATAATATTGTCTCTTTTATAAGTTTGGCAAACAGAATGTCATAATGATGTGTTGTGCCTTAAAGAGAAGATTGTGTTTGTGTGTTATAATGTAATTTTGGTTAAAAACTCTGTAGATAAGCAAAGAAAAACCTTTGTGGTAATTTTTGACATGACCAAATTTGAAATTCAAAGAAATCAAAGGGCAGGGCTGCACCAAAGCATTTAAGTATTTGTTGCAGTAAGAAAAAAATAATAAAGGAAAGTTTGTGTTTTTATTTGGATTCTGAATAATTCCACTGGTTGATTGAGAAAAGTTAAGAGTATGTTGGGAGGTTGATATTGGGGACCGCTACACTGAAAGGTTAAAAATAGTGTTTAACACCTTCGGCATCATTTCTTGATTCTCCAACAAGAGAACTAAGAGCCATATTCATTAATTACTGAGTCCACTGAAAGCCATACAGTGAGTGCATCTGCTGTGTATAAAAGAACAAAGTTCCACCCAGCAGAAAAAGTGTTCAGGTGGCATTACTGGAAGGTGAAAATGTGGAGTTAAGCCCAGATGGGGAATAAAACACAATTCCATTAGGAATGAAAAATTACTAAAGATACTCAAGTCAGTCAGATGTGCAACTAATGCTCCATTTAACATATTCAGGATCAACACAAGCTGCTGAAATTACTGACATAATGACATTGGCCGTTTCAGGAGCATAGTCCACTTTGGTAAATAAAGTAGTGTTTTGGTAGTTTTTCAGTTGTGTTCCACATTTCCATGTATTTTGTTTTGGGTCAGCATGATTTTCCTCACCCATTTTTGATTGCACAAAATACTACACAGGGACAACCCTAAAATGTTTTTGAACCAGAAATTTTAATAGTATGTCAGGTATCTGAGGAGAGGAGATGATTTTTATCAAGAAATACTGAGAAATATATCACCTTAACTTTCATAATTGCTGTTAAAAGTTACAGTCCATACAGTGATGATTACCTTGTGAGTATGAACATGCTACCTTTCATCTTTGGAAAATGAGCAAGATCCATATTGTACACAGGGTCCTTAGTACTCTATATGCAGCTTGAGCACTCTGAAACAACAGCAAGTGGTTTGTCTCTCATTGCAGAAAATGGAAACTAATTTTTTTGATTTTTAACGCTGTACATGGAGACACCTGAGGTTGTCTGTGCACTGAACTGCATGAAGAAGTGCATGCAAGAGAAGGTGTTAAATACAAACTCCAGGATGCCTGCACAAGCACAGGCACTGAGTAGTTGGCACTGAGGAGAAAATCTTCCCTCTCTCTGCTGTGAAGCCAATATATGTCATAGTTACCACATAGTAACTTCACTGTTGAGGTTACGTGAAAGTTGTTGGTGAAAGCCTGGAGCCACTATAAGTAGAAGGCAAAACTCCTCTATAAATTCATAAAAATGGGATTTCTCCCCTGTTTTGGAGTTGAATATGCAAGTCACCACACAGCAACTAACAATAATTTGTTATCACTGCACAGTTTAAAGCCATCACATGAGACTTGCCACATATGGAAACACTATAGACTAGCTATTTGGGTGATAGATTTATGTGTCCAAAATAAGTAAAAATTATGCATACCTTCTTTATATTTCCAGTACCTGTCTAGTCAGATTTGTCCTGGAAGTACCTTTTTCATAAATAGCTGTAGTAGCAGCTTTTTGTAGTTTTTCAGATGGGAAAAAGTGTTTCTACTGGAATAAGAAAAAACTTCAAAGCCTTTCTCAAGTTCCAGCATTGCATAAAAATCTCAATGTAAAAGCATGATAAGCAAAAAAATGGGTATGGTGAACTAGCTTTTTTTTTTTCTTTTTCTTTTTTTTTGACAAGTCATAGTGTTCTTTAAATGCATGAAGCAATATTATTTCTCAAGTTACTTGTTCAGTGTTCTTTTCCTAATCAGATGTAAGAACAAAAAGTGGCCCAGCAACAACCAATGGTTCTTACAAAAGGTTTGCAGTGCCTTCATTGGAGTTGTGCTTAGCTTTCTGTGGTGGATGCAGCTCAATTTGTATACTGGACTTCTAAAGAGGAGATGCAGGCAAAAGGAGGGAAGTTTTACAGAGAATGATAAAGTTCTGTGTGCTACCATAGCAGAAGTTAATCATAAAACTAAGTAATTCACAAAAAAGTGAATCCAAAGACAATTCAAGGATTTAGCTCGAAAGCCTTCGCAACACAAAATTTCAGACCATGAATACTCTCTTGCTAAGCAAAAATTGCTCTATACCTTTAAATAAAAGTGTGTAGTATACTCCTTGTAGGGAGAAATTAGTCTGATATATTTTCCTGCATGAACAATACAGAGCAGAAAATAACCAAGGCAGAGACATCAGGCTGTTCCAGATGGGCCTAAGAAGATTAAACTGAAGGTTGGTCAGTTTGACACTGGGTGCGTTTTAATTCAAAAGCATATTAATCAGAAACTACCTTCCCTTCAGCCTCTCCTCAACAACGAAGATTGAGCACAAGGTCATGTTTGCAAGCATTTTTGGCAAATGAAGTATAGAATAGAATGCCTTTTGCTGATACTTTAGCAGTTCTCAGTACAGAACATGAACGTTCATTAGGCATTTGAGTAGTCAGCTTGCAGAATAGAAATCTTGGGTGATTGCAGTCACAAGCTGGTATCTTAACTAGATATAAATCTGTGCAGTTCAGTAAAAGAGAACAGAAAAAAAACCTAAAAAATAGGCTTATTTTTAGATGCCTGCAGAGATTGTACACAAAGATCTAGGTAGCAGCTAGCTCCCAGATCTGTTTTCATTAGAATCCAGTGTGAGCAGCAGTGTTTGCATCTGAAGCAGGTGTGGAGTGTGTTCCGGCGCAAACATTGACAAGGGAGATGAGGCCAAATCAAAATCCTGTGTACAAGCACACTTCATCTTGGGGCGGATGAGATCCTGAATTCCATCAGAACTGAAGAGTTTATGGAGAATAAAGACTTGACCCATGATAGGGAGACTAGGTTTTAGCTATGAGGTCGTATCCAGATCCAGAGTTTCAGTTCAAAAGTCATCTCTGCTTTAAAGGATTGACAGCAGGCATATGCTGTAAATGAATATGGTATTTAGTATCTCTGAAGAGAAGCTGAAGTGACAGAAGCCAAAATCCCAGCAATAGCAGCATTTTGAAGATTTGAAGCCAAGGGTCTCTGTCATGTATTAGCAGATTATAGTTTATTAGGGCCTACCTAATTTAAGAAAATGTAAATTAAAATTAAAAGCTTGTAAAATTATGTACATCTTTACTATTTCTCAATAAATACACTTGGAAATGTCTTTTTTTTCTGCACTTTATGGTGTTGTAAGTTGTTTGGTTTGTGGTTGAAATTCTCCATACACAATGTCTCTTACAGGACCTGACTGTGACCTTGGACTCTAATGTCCGTGCTTGGACTCTTATGTCCATGTCCATGCTGCCCTTGTGGTTCATGCCTGGAGCAACCCTGAGCCTGTGCATGTGGTCTGGTACAGACTGGCTCACATGCAGACTGTTTGCAGGCTGCAGCCTTAGAGAGAATGTCCCCCTGCTCTGCACTGAGGCTTCCTCACCAAGAGCATTAGGTGCCTTGCTCCAGATGCAGCCTGAGTGACAAGTAGCACCTTTGTTGCAGTGTCCTTCAGATAAAATACAGAACAACCCCAAATTTGATGGCCTAGACACACAGTGTATACACATAAATTCCCTTGCCAGTTCACTTAATAATGTTATGCTAGTGTTCTTATGGACATGGGTTGTTAGGAGACAGACTGGGCTACTGAGGTGCAAGTAGCCTTTCCAGTTGAAGGTTGTCCTCGTGAAACTTTGTAAATGTCTTTGGGAGCCATACTTCATGTCTTAGTGGGGTACTGACCTTCATTTGAAGAAAACAGTCCTTCCAAAGACTGCTTATGCAGGATTTAAGGCCAAAGTGGGATGGCAGGACTGTCAGCACATTGTAATCTTGGAACAACATAGCAAGTGGCAGAGCCTTGGTAAGCACAGTGCTTCACCCACAAGAAGCAGCTTGTAATAGTAGATTTTTTTTCCCCAGGGGTTAGATTAAAACATATCTGCTTTTTCCTCAGTTTTAGGAACAAAAAGGAAGATATATCAAAAATAGAGTGGACAAAATGTGAAAAAGGCCTATCTACTGAGCAGACGGACCCATCCACGGAACAAACAGTACCATTTCAGAAGACTGAGATAAAAGGGAGTCAGAAAATGGTTTTCCCCCATGTTAAAACTGGTGGATTTCAGAACGGAGGAAGGAGGAAGAACAGCAGTGAGAAAGCTTGTGGGTGGGGATTAAGACAGGTAGATTCCTTATCAATTACTGTCACAAAGGAAACAGACTCCACCTGGAGAAAATTAATTTATTGCCAATTAAAATAAATATTTAATCACTGCATTGTGTAGTGGGAAACAAAAAGGCACCTTTCCTCCTCCCATTTCCATGTGCAGCTTCACTACTTCACTGCAAGCTTCTCTATGTCTCCCGAGCAGCATAGACAGGATGAGGGAAGATGGTGGCTACAATCAGTAAGTACTCAGTTCCTCTCTATATTAGGGAAGTCTGCGTGCCATAGGAGGCCTCTGTTTGTATCTCACCAGCCTATCCCATGAGCAGCCTATAATGTCACCTTTATAAGGATGAATCAGCTTCAAATGCTACCTTTCTCACTTGGAAAGCTTTTACTTTGATTTGGTTTTTTCATACAAGCCATGACTGGAGCATGTGTTAACTTCTGCAGCTCATGCAAACCAGAAACCCTTACCTGACATCTGTGCCTCATGATCACTCAAAGCAAAACAAAGCAAGGAGGGAGAAAAATGGGGGAGGAGCAGAATGGAGCCAATTGGGGGTTGGGCTGCTCCAGTCAAACAGCATATGAACACTGATTTATGAAATGCAATCCTATTCTCAATAACTGCCACAGACCACTGACATG